GATGAACACAAAGTGGATATGCATTATATATATATATATATATATATATATGCCTTTTCAATATTTCATGCTCCAAAAGAAAACATCGTTATTGTTCACGCGATATAAGATTATAAGTAAATTGAAAATTTTATTTCAAACTGGTTTGTTGATCCTAGTCTCTTGAAACACGTTAGACGGACCAATTAAATACTTATCATTATTTTTATTTTCTTTTTCCAATAGATCGGATACTTATTTTTGGGTATATTAGTGTACAACACGTACAGAAACGGTGGATGATCGATCCATCGTGTTCATTTTTAAATTTGTTTGGTATACTTATTTTGAATGTTTTTTGGGAAAATGATTCGAACATGTTAACAATTCCGACCCCCTTGGTCGCATATCTTTCCAAGGCCCATGTGCCCACCGTCGGTCCATGGACGAATATATATAATTGATTCGGGGCTCATTTAGATTTAGCCGATGGACGTGCACATGTCATACTAACATAAGGCTCCACGTATTGTCTCCATGCAACATTTGGTGTCGAATCATCTTTTTGATCGTGAGATTACGTGCCATGAAATAAAATTTACCAACACATGTTTTTTCCCTCACAATTTGTATGGAAAAGATAAATAGAGATACAATTTGTACAAGTATTATCGATTACATTGTTCATAAAAATCAATATTTTTTTGTTTTAAAAATCATAAACAATTTTACAATTACTAATCTCGTAATTAATAAAATATTATGAACATGAATGGACAAAGAAAATTGCTCGGAAAAAAACATTGAAGCTTCGGAACCGATTAAACTGAAAAACCTCTTTCCATCGACAACAGTTGTATGTCCGTACGGGTTTGACCTTTCTTCATCGTCAAAGTTGCCGATTTATTTACCTTAGACATCACATTGCTTGATGACTTTCACGCGTGACCAAGAGGCGCCCACTTGACAATGGGGCCGACTTTGTTAGATTAATCGCTTATTCGATTCATAAATTCCATAGGGTTCCACACCTGTTGATCAGATTTTCCCCAAATTCTCCAGATTTAGGGTTCCTCTGGATCCGTTCGTTCAGGGTTTTCAATTAGCATGGAATGCGATCGATCCTTGGATGTGACCGAGGCCGATGAGGAGGTCCATCGCCATCGGCGCGACAATAGCCTCCAGTTTCCTCATCCGGCTTCGAAGATTCACACCGGCGGCGGCTCTGTTCCTAGTACGACCAGAGTTCATGAACTTCTCGAATGCCCTGTTTGTACTAATTCCATGTACCCTCCAATCCATCAGGTTTGTTCGATCTTTTTTCCCCAGTTCGAGAGTCAGCAGTTCCTCATTTATACAGGGAATCTGTTTTGTTGTTGTAAAGATTTGATTTTTGGTTTGAAGTCGCTTTGGTTTTTGTTGATTGTCCAGATGAATTTGTCTTAGCAAAGACAACTTGTTGTGAGTTTAGAATGTCTGGTATCCGTATGCGGTTCATGAGATGCACGCGTGTAGCCATGTGTTTGTTCTTGCAGAGCTTTTATGGGGGGATGTTACCTTTTCAGGTCGCTAATATTGTCGAAAGGAAGAAATTAGGATTGGTCAAGTCAGATATGGCAATGGAGAGCCATAGATTGTTAGATTAGATTTCGTGCTCTCTTAGTGTAATCTCCATGAGGATAACATAACCATCAATTCCAATGCAACCCTTACAAGGAATGAGCAGCCAGTCACTAGTGGCTTTATGGTTTTTGTGCCTGAAAACATCTGAGCGTTGTCTTATGCCGAAAAAAAAGGGAGGAATTTTGTTGCTTAGGGTTGTTGATGTTTCATTTCCATGCAGCTTATGTTCAAAGGTCTTTCCTTGAATAAGTTTTGGCAAGTTTTGTGTGTAGACTTCCCTTGAATCATTATCGATAGAAAGATGCGTTGGAAGAACTTGGTCTTGGAACATTCTTCTTTTGCTTCATCGGAATGCATTAGTCTTGATGTTTGTAAAATTGAATCTAACATATTCATTTTCTCTTGTTTATTTGGCAGTGCCATAATGGTCATACTCTCTGTTCAAACTGTAAAGCCAGGGTACACAATCAATGCCCGACTTGTAGACAAGAACTCGGTGATATAAGGTGTCTTGCGTTGGAGAAAGTAGCCGAATCACTTGAATTTCCATGCAAATACATGCCATTAGGATGCTCAGAGATCTTCCCTTATTACAGCAAACTCAAACACGAGGCTCTGTGTAACTTTAGGCCTTACAGTTGTCCGTACGCAGGATCTGAGTGTTCTGCCTCAGGCGATATCCCTTTCCTTGTCTCTCACCTCAGAGATGAACACAAAGTGGATATGCATTCCGGGTGCTCTTTCAACCACCGTTATGTTAAACCGAATCCTCGTGAAGTGGAGAATGCTACTTGGATGCTAACTGTAAGTTTATATACTACGCTGCATCTAACTACTTAGGACATGACTTGCAAAGCCTGAACCTTTACGGTTTGACCACTTAAAAAACTGGAAAAGACTTCAACTTCGACTTGGACCGCAAATGAAGGTTGTTAAGTCCTGTTTTGCTATAAGCTTAGGATCTTGTCTTTAGTTTGAAATGGAAGACTACTACACTGAATTGTTCGTATGGATTAACATCTTCATCTGGGTATCAGGTATTTAACTGCTTCGACCACTACTTCTGCCTGCATTTCGAGGCCTTCCAGCTCGGGATGGCGCCAGTGTATATGGCGTTCCTCCGGTTCATGGGGGACGAGACAGAGGCCAAAAGCTACAGTTACAGCCTAGAGGTAGGAGGGTATGGGCGGAAATTGACGTGGGAAGGGACGCCGAGAAGTATAAGAGACAGCCACAAGAAAGTGAGAGATAGCCATGACGGCCTCATCATTTACAGAAACATGGCTCTCTTCTTCTCCGGTGCTGACAGGAAAGAGCTGAAGCTACGCGTCACTGGTCGGATCTGGAAAGAACATCAGAACCCTGAATCTGGAAATTGCATTTCCCTTAACCTTTCTGCTTCGTGATTTTGTGGGTTCGTGTGATAATTTTTACAGCACATGTGATGTGACTCTCTTTTTTTTTCCCTCCTTTTTATCTGGAAAATGTAAATATCGAATAATTCGGCTGTTTTCTAACATTTCAGGAATAAGAAAAAACATAATTTATTTAGCAATTGAAGAACGCGGAATTGGATTCTCGACGTGCAAATCTGAGGTTTTCCACTGTGGCAAAGGCCGGTCTACTCACTTAACCAACACGAAAGCAGTCAATCTCTGATACGACAAATTTATCAGACGAATCAAAATTTTGAAATTGAAATCGAAAGACTCACGTCAATCAAGCACGGAGACCTTATGACAAAAGGAACAAGTTAAAGCCCAAACAAATGAAATGGGCCACTTAATATTGGGCCAATTAAGCCCACTATCCTTTTCGATTGAAAAAAGGTGTGTGTGGAAGCAAACTAAGAAAAAAGGGCCGAAAGCGTTTTGGAAACATCCGATAAAAACAGCCTTCAGGAGGAAATTGAGTTTGATTTTTTCAAAATACTTGATTAATCTTTGACCCAAACTCCAGGCCCATTACATAATATTGTCGAAAGGAAGAAATTAGGATTGGTCAAGTCAGTTATGGCAATGGAGAGCCATGGATTGTTAGATTAGATTTCGTGCTCTCTTAGTATAATCTCCATGAGGATGACATAACCATCAATTCCAATGCAACCCTTACAAGGATGACTTTATGGTTTTTATGCCTGAAAACAGCTGAGCGTTGTTTTATGCCGAAAAAAAAGGGAAGAATTTTGTTGCTTAGGTTTGTCGATGTTTCATTTCCATGCAGCTTATACTCAAAGGTCTCTCCTTGAATAAGTTTTGGCAAGTTTTGTGTGTAGATTTCCCATGAATTATTATCGATAGAAAGATGAGAAAAGTCTATTGAATCAAAAATATAAATTTAAGAAGATTAAAATTGATTGGAAATGATTATGAGGATGATTGAGAGAAATTAAAAATACAAAATCAATTAACAAATAATGATAATTGTGTCAATTATCTCTTGATTTATTTGACATAATTATCCCAAAGTCAATCTTGAGGGGAATGTTAAAATGAGAAAACAAATATAAATTTGAGAAGATTGAAATTGATTAGAAATGATTATGAGGATGGATTAAATACATAAAATCTATTAACAAATAATGATAATTGTGTCAATTATCTCTTGATTTATTTGTTTCCATCATATATTATTTCTTTGTAAATTTCTTTCTTTAATTATTTTGTAATTGTTTCTTATAAATAGATGAATTATTTTCATTGTAAAACAATAAGAAGAAGAGGTGTAGTAATAGAAGTGTTCTTTGTTTTATTTTTTTCTTCTTTTCTCTCTTTTCAATTTCCGCATTTTCATTTCCAATAAGTTTTGGCAAGTTTTGTATGTAGATTTCCCATTAATCATTATCGATAGAAAGATGAGAAAAGTCTACTGAATCACAAATATAAATTTAAGAAGATTGAAATTGATTAGAAATGATTATGAGGATGATTGAGATAAATTAAAAACACAAAATCAATTAACAAATAATGATAATTGTGTCAATTATCTCTTGATTTATTTGACACAATTATCTCCAAATCAATCATGATGGGAATGTTAAAATGAGAAAACAAATATAAATTTGAGAAGATTGAAATTGATTGAAAATGATTATGAGGATGATTGAGAGAAATTAAATACACAAAATCTATTAACAAATAGTGATAATTGTGACAATTATCTCTTGATTTATTTGTTTCCATCATATATTATTTCTTTGTAAATTTCTTTCTTTAATTATTTTGTAATTGTTTCTTATAAATAGATGAGTTATTTTCATTGTAAGACAACAAGAAGAAGAGATGTAGTAATAGAAGTGTTCTTTGTTTTATTTTATTTTTCTTTTCTCTCTTTTCAATTTCCGCATTTTTATTTCCAATAAGTTTTGACAAGTTTTGTGTATAGATTTCCCATGAATCATTATCGATAGAAAGATGAGAAAAGTCTACTGAATCACAAATATAAATTTAAGAAGATTGAAATTGATTGGAAATGATTATGAGGATGATTGAGAGAAATTAAAAACACAAAATTAATTAAAAAATAATGATAATTGTGTCAATTATCTCTTGATTTATTTGACACAATTATTTCCAAGTCAATCTTGAGAGGGAATATTAAAATGAGAAAACAAATATAAATTTAAAAAGATTGAAATTGATTGGAAATGATTATGGGTATGATTGAGAGAAATTAAAGACACAAAATCTATTAACAAATAATGATAATTGTGTCAATTATCTCTTGATTTATTTGTTTCCATCATATATTATTTCTTTATAAATTTCTTTCTTTAATTATTTTGTAATTGTTTCTTATAACTAGATGAGTTATTTTCATTGTAAAACAACAAGAAGAAGAGATGTAGTAATAAATGTGTTCTTTGTTTTATTTTTTTTTTCTTTTCTCTCTTTTCAATTTTCGCATTTTATTTTTCAATATGGTATCAGAGCAGTGTTACGATCTGATCTATATAATTCTTTTTTCATAGTTTATATTTTTCTACTCTCTTCGTTTCTGAATTATTAATGTTCATATATCCAAATGGTTTAAAGTGGAGTAAAATCCAGAATCAAACGAGGTACTATGACAAAAGGAATCAAAGCCAGAAAAAACTCCAAGATCAAGCGAAGTGCTATGACAAAAGGAGATAAAGGCAGAATTTCATGATCAAGCGAACTGATTTGAGGATGGATCAAATCTCTCAAGAACCAGATTGGTATCTATGGATCATTTTATTAACAATGAATTACTCATCGAGTTTTTAAATTATTTCAGGTATTCTCTCCATGATTGACCTTTTACATTATCTCCAAGTCAATCTTGAGGGGGAATGTTAAAACGAGAAAACAAATATAAATTTAAGAAGATTGAAATTGATTGGAAATGATTATGAGGATGATTGAGAGAAATTAAAGACATAAAATCAATTAACAAATAATGATAATTGTGTCAATTATCTCTTGATTTATTTGTTTCCATCATATATTATTTCTTTAATTATTTTGTAATTGTTTCTTATAAATAGATGACTTATTTTCATTGTAAAACAACAAGAAAAAGAGATGTAGTAATAAAAGTGTTCTTTGTTTTATTTTTTTCTTCTTTTCTCTCTTTTCAATTTCCACATTTTATTTTTCAATAACTATGACAAAAAAGAGTTAAAGCTAGAACTTTAAAGTCAAGTGAAGTGATTTGAAAAAGGTTAGTACTCCCTAAATGAATGAAATTTGGTATCTCTGGATTGTTTTAATAACAGTGAAGTTTTTCATCATTTTGTTTTATCTTCAAGATTGATTTTTGAATTATTTCAAAATCAATCTTGAGAGGGAATGTTGAAATAGAAACAAAATATGGAGATTTGATATGATTGATAATAATTAAAGGCATTATATTAATTAAGAATAAAATATATATCGTGTCAATTATATTTTGCCTTATTTGTTTTTTTCGTATCTTTATTTCCTTGTTTCTTTCAATTATTTTTCATATAAATGTATGAATTATTTTCATTGTAATATAACAAGAAGAAAAGATGTAGCAATAAAAATGTTTCCGTTCTTTCATATTTTGTTCTTTCATTCTAATTTAATTTCCGCATTTTATTTTTCAATACTGGATTGGTCATCGAGTTCTTTGCGTACGGACTTGGCTTTGAACAATCTCGGGAAAGAAGATCGACTGAAAAACGAGGAGAGACTCATTTTCCGTTCAAGAAATCAAGAAAATGGCTTTCGGTAGCCTCAAAACTGAAAAAGATAGAGAAGCGCTTTTGCTATTGAGAATTTCTTTTTTTTTTCTTTATCGTTTTGTAAATTGGCGGGGTTTATATGCACGTGTGTGTATACACACAATTTCATATAAAATAAAGATTACCTTTGCTTCTGATCGATTCACTCTTCGTGTGATATGAGCATAAAGGCGAACCAACATTTCCATTATTATGGGAGCTTGATCCCAATCAAGTTTCATCGTCTAATTTTTGAAATTAACATTAAAAATTATTGCTACTATTCAAGAATATAAAAAAAATGTGGAAATAAACATAAATTGTAAATATGGTAAGAAATTTTAACAAATTAGAATAAATGATAAATTGTACTTAAATTTATTACGCCAGTTGCATTGGTTTTGTTATTGGATAATCACGGTCCTATTCATATTTTATATTATGGAATAACAATTTTATAAATCCAAATTTTTAACGATTAGAAAATAGGAAATCGTATAACAACACACATGATGAGCGAAAATAATACAAAAGATGACTACTTTAGTGTTCATTTTCAAAAAGCATAGGCGGGGAGAGACGAAGAAGTCGATGTAAACGTGCGACGCAAGGGAAAGACAACAAAGCGAAGATAATCGTGTGGTTCAGGCCCAACTTTCACCTTTGGCCCAAACCCAAACCCAAATCCATGATTAGAGAAAACCTAATCACCTTTCCTTCTTTGATGCGACCCCTCTATACTCCAACACAGCTTCCGAGTTCGGTCCGACGACAGTTACAGCATCAACACCACTGGGGTAAGTCACTTATTCCGTCTATCTGTGTATCTTCCCTCTCGGTTTAGTCCCTCCGTCTTGCTTTTTCTCTCTTAATAGTTTACTGTCGCCGCCATGACCTACGCAAGAGTTGGTTCTGCCTTGAGTTTCAACCGAAATGAATCAGACTTGAAGCGAATCCACGATGCACTCATCTTTGGCGATTTCCTAGGTTCCCGACAACGGCAAACCTGCAACACAAGAGAAGAACACGAGCAGGACCAAGATTTTGATACTGAAAGAAGATAAAGTCTGAGGTTTTCCACTGTAACAAAGGACGGTTTTCTCAGTAAACCGGCCACTTAACCAACAAGAAAGGAGTCAATCTCATACGAACAAATTTATCAAACGAATCAAAAATTGTGTTACACCCCAAACAAAAGGAATGCGCCACATAATGTTGGGCCCAATAGGCCCACTATCCTTTTCAATTAAAAAAAAAAAGAGTAAGTGTGAAAGTGACCCATGAAAAAAAAAGAGGCCGAAAGCGTTTTGGAACCATCCGATACAAACAACCTCAATTTATTTAGCAATTGAAGAACACGGAATTGGATTCTCGACGTGCAAATCTGAGGTTTTCCACTGTGGCAAAGGCCGGTCTACTCACTTAACCAACACGAAAGCAGTCAATCTCTGATACGACAAATTTATCAGACGAATCAAAATTTTGAAATTGAAATCGAAAGGAACAAATTATTTGGTCAATCAAGCACAGAGACCTTATGACAAAAGGAACAAGTTAAAGCCCAAACAAATGAAATGGGCCACTTAATATTGGGCCAATTAAGCCCACTATCCTTTTCGATTGAAAAAAGGTGTGTGTGGAAGCAAACTAAGAAAAAAGGGCCGAAAGCGTTTTGGAAACATCCGATAAAAACAGCCTTTAGGAGGAAATTGAGTTTGATTTTTTCAAAATACTTAATAATCTTTGACCCAAACTCCAGGCCCATTTTTAAATCATAATTAAAAAGCTGTTTTGAATACGCAAGGCCTGAATCTGGGATTGTTTTAACCTAAAAAAAATTTGAGATCTTTTGGTGATTTCTTTCTCTCTTTCATCTTTCCTCGCTTTCTTATTCGCACAAATTCCCGCACGCGATTGGGACAAAAGGCTTGGCCACGAGCAGAAGGAGCTTTACACGTGTCATAGAAAGAGATCTTGCCACATAAACATATAACCAATGAAAACGTGACACGTAACTTCCATGCAAATCTGACGACGTTGTTTTTTGTCGCTACTAAGAAGACACACCCGTCCTTCGTCATGTCATGTAGGGGTTTAAATTTAATGCGCCAAAATATGGTCCTCGGAGATAAGGATACGATTAGTTTTTTTTTTTTATTTAAATTTTGTCCTTATCCAAATCCCCGTATTATTGTTGTCTTTATTACTATCTTTTCTCTGAATTCCTAATTCATTAGCGCTTGTTTTTTTTTTCCTGTAAAGTAGTTGGCTTTTTTTGTGCTAAATTTTCAATGAAGGAAAACTTGTTGACTATTCTTCGCTATTTCCGTTTTTCGTTTTTTTTCTTTGGTGATTTATCATATAGCATGCGTTGTATTTAAAGTGTGCCACTCACTGGCAGATTTACATTCAACTGTGCCCCCATTCAAACAATAAAAAAAAGACTATTTTCTATAAAATTATGTAAAATTTTGAATAAAACTATAAAATATCCCCATAGAAATAAATTTATTTATAACTAGAAATTTACCCCCAATGATAATTTTTCTAGGTCCGCTACCTATTGGTTCCACTTTCATATTGTTTGTTTTAGCTGGTAGATGCCCATGATTTTATATATCCACGTTACAGTGTAAATACATTGAACCTTTGTCATTAGCTGAATAATATATTATACATTAGTGCTGATTGGTCTGTAAAGACTCTAAACATGGTAATGATCGACGATGACATGGCATCATTCCTTCTTCTTTTTTTTTTTTTAAAAAAAATATCCTATACTTTTAATTTAGAATCCAATGCGAATTTCTGAGAGTATATTATTCCAACACACATATTGTGCTGCGGCCAAGGCCACCACATGCGAGGAAAAAGACAGAACAAAGAGCTCGCATTATTTGGTGTTGGGAGATGTGGGGAATCTGACCAACTTTTGGTGGATTTTATTGGTAACTTTATATCGTGCCTTGGGGGAAAAAAAATAAGAATCAAATTTTAAAAACCATGATAAAAAAAATAAATAAATTTACATCAGAAAACAGTTTGTACCGTTAAAGCATGAATTGATTGATGCAAATGAGACCAGACGCTCGCATGATTCTCGTGTATCTGTAACGTACAGTGTTTTCACTTATTTGGGTCACCAACTTTCCTATTTTCCAATCAAAACACAGATCTTCATCGTAAGACATAAACTGAAATTTGATTATCACACAAAAATTTAAGACATATGGAGACTAAGTTATTGGTGCTAAGGGAAATACATTACACAACGAAATGTGTAATAAATATGATTTATGAAAAAAAAGTAAATATTTTTTTTTTTGCTTCAGCCTATTGGTCGGAAAGGAGAGGTCAGTTACAAGTGGGAAAGATATGTCAAAGTTAATTGTCGGTGGGTTCATTGATTATTGAGCCCAATTTTATAGTTATAAAGAAATCTTTTTCTCTCCTTTTTTTCCTCTTTTATTAATTAAAATTAATTTTTTTGTGTCTATTTATCCACATTGCAGATTCATTGGTTTTCCTCAGAGACAGAGAGAGAGGAGGTTTGGTGATCAGAAGAGGAGAGAGATGGACGGCGGCGGAAGCGATACGGCGATGTACGGAGGTCTGGAAGCGGCGCAGTACGTACGGATGCATCACCACCATCTCTGCAGAAACGATCAGTGTACCTCTGCTCTCGTCAAACACATTAAAGCCCCTGTTCATCTCGTACATCTCTCTCTCTCTATATATATATATATGATGGATTCGCTCTCTGACTTTTCACTCATCTCTGATTTTGTTTCTGATTTCGTATATTATACGTAGAATCTGTATTTCGGAAGATATAGGGTCATCGATCCCTGGATTCGTGGATTTAGGTTTTTTTTTCTCGTTCGTTTCTTCAAAGGGGAACTTCATTCTCGGGTTTTTCCCCAGTAATTTTAGGAAATGGTGAAGGTGTTTACTTTATCTACTCTGAGATTTCTGGGTCAACAGGTTTGGTCGCTTGTGAGGAGATTTGATCAGCCACAGAAATACAAGCCCTTTGTTAGCAGATGCATAGTTAATGGAGATCCTGAGATCGGTAGCGTTAGAGAAGTAAATGTCAAGTCTGGCCTTCCCGCTACCACCAGCACCGAAAGGTTGGAATTGCTTGATGACGACGAACACATTCTCGGCATCAAGATCGTTGGCGGTGATCACAGACTAAAGGTAACCAAAATCGGATTGAAACATCTCTATTTCTTACAGGGTATTGTATATATGTTGTTCTGTTACAAATCCTGGGGTTTTTCTGTGTCTATGTTCTTGCAGAATTACTCTTCCGTCGTGACTGTTCATCCGGAGATGATCGATGGGAGACCAGGAACTATGGTGATAGAGTCATTTGTGGTGGATGTTCCTGAAGGCAACACCAAGGATGAGACTTGTTACTTTGTGGAGGCACTGATAAGGTGTAATCTGAAATCTTTGGCTGATGTTTCCGAAAGACTGGCTGCTCAGGACAGAACCGAACCCGTTGTCGGGTCATACTGAAATATCCATCCTTCCAAGGAATCACATGCGGCAGGCAGCTCCGAAGATTGATTTTAGAGGCTTTGGATAATGAGAAGTTGTGTAGCAGGTACGAACTGAGTGAAGGATCCGTCCAGTGTGTTATCCTCTTCCTGAAAATTTTGTCTGGTCTATATATGTATAGACTCTTTCCTGGTCATTGCGGTCTGTCTCTCCTGCTGCTTGTTACAGCAATGCTTGGATCATCATCGTCGTCGTGCTCACATCATATCCTGTCTGTGGCGAAAGATCTGATGGTGTAGTGTCATTTGTGTTCGTGGACAGTGTATTTTTCCACCTCTGTATGTGTAGGTAATCACTGTAAAATATCGTCTGCACCATTGTAAAATAACTAGGGGTATCTGTATTAGGTAGGGGCTTTTTCCCTCTCCAAAACACTGACTGAACCCTTGCCCCATCCTGTAAGAAAATCTCCTCCTTTGCTAAACAATGACATGCAGTTTGCCGTCGGTCATTGCCATCTTCTCAATATGTGCCATTACCAACTTCTCTTTAACTCTTAAAGCCTCTTCCAAGCAACCTCTGTGAGTTCTATGACTCAGTGGATCTTGTAAGATGAGACCCCAGAGGTTGAAGCGGGCTTCAATGGCGTCGTTTACATGAAGTCCCAAGCAAATCCACCATGGAAGAGCAGTGTTCAAAAGTCGGGGTTAGATTCCAATGACTCACGATTGATGTAAAGAGATGAGCAGACCGGTGAATTGGCACGTTGTGTGGCTGCTGAAGGAAATGAGCTGCTGTAACAATGGCGCAGACAGATTCTCCATGGAAGCTCTGGATAAGATCTCTCCATTTGATCTCCCCAGCAACTCGAACCGCATCGTTTTTAACTGTTTAATTTCCCAGGCTCGAAAACCCGAACTTTCGCCAGTAAACTGAGACACGTCGAAGCTCGAATTATGAACACTAACACATGAGACCCCAGAGGTTGAAGTGGGCTTCAATGGCGTCGTTTACATGAAGTCCCAAGCTTCGTCAAGATAACCCGAACTTCCCAAGCAAATCCACCATGGAAGAGCAGTGTTCAAAAGTCGGGGTTAGATTCCAATGACTCACGATTGATGTAAAGAGGAGCAGACCGGTGAATTGGCACGTTGTGTGGCTGCTGAAGGAAATGAGCTGCTGTAACAATGGCGCAGACAGATTCTCCATGGAAGCTCTGGATAAGATCTCCCCGGCAACTCGAAACGCATCGTTTTTAACTGTTTAATTTCCCAGGCTCGAAAACCCGAACTTTCGCCAGTAAACTGAGACACCTCGAAGCTCGAATTATGGACACTAACACATGAGATTTGGCCAAAACAAAAAGATTCATCGAGAAACGAGGAGTCTCCAGATACAAACAAGGGATGATGCGCACAAAGCGGAAGCTTGGGTTCAATCATTTAGCTCAAAGCTTGAGACTTTCATCATTTCTATGACGGAAAATAGAAGACACTCGGTTTCAGACCAGTAAGGTAGAGCTACCGAGAACCAAAAAAAAAAAGCTTTCACCTTTACGGCTCTGCAATATCATCTGCTTTCAAGGCAAATGTTCGCATTGGAGATTTACGAGAGAACGCAAAACCCTTGTGCCAATCTCGTGTCCCCAACATGAGATAGCTTCACATAGGTCTTGAATGTAATATTGAACCGAATACAGGGGCATATCGGGGATAACAATCGGCCAAAAATCTCCTTTCGTGGCAACGATGTCGTTTTATTCTCCTGCAGAAACGACGGCGTTTCTTCCCATCGCTGGTTTTGCCTTTCTTGTCACCACTACATTTCGCCGGGTGGGCCACAAATGGCGAGGAGGCGTGCTGCAGCCACGGCGAGTTCGGATCGGCGGAGGGGTCGACGCGAAGGACCAAGCCGAGAAGGTCAATTTGACGAATCGAACTCGGATCGGAGGCTCATCGCTATCTTCGTCATCTTCTTCGTCGTGATTCCTGCCGTTTCGGTGGTCATCTACAATGTCAAGTTCGCTCAACGAGGGATTCATCCGACATCTTCCGTACGTCAACGGAGACTCGTCAAAACCGATATTAGTTTCCGAGAGATCCTCAGTGTAAGCCCATAATTGTTTAGCTGCATAGAAAATTTCGGATTATGCGGAATCAATTTCATCATTTTCCCGTATTTGTACATTTGTCGCTTGCGTAGATGATCCGAACGTATAATTATATGCATGAATGCAAGTGAATGGGAATTGATGAGGATAGTTTGAATTATTTCAGGAACACTCCAAGGCGGCAGAGAACGCATCGAGTCGGCACTATGATTATCCAGTGTTAGCATATGTCACGCCTTGGTGGGTTTCTCATATTCATGTTTCCGTACAGTTTCAGACATGGTTACTGAATCTTGTGCTGCAAAACTGTGCAGGAACTCAAAAGGATATGAGATGGCAAAGGTGTTCAACTCCAAGTTCACACATTTATCACCGGTTTGGTACGACCTGAAGAGGTATGTTTGGTTAACGACATGGGGTTTCCATAGGCTTATAATGCCGTGCAAGAAAGATGGTGGTGTTCTGATGTGTGTGATCTTTTGGGTTGGTTCCTAATTTTGGCAGTCAAGGAAGTGGCTTGATTTTGGAAGGGAGACAAAATGTTGATAAAGGGTGGATCCAAGATCTCCGATCACGAGGGAATGCTCTGGTATTTGAACCAACACCCGGTTTTTCTTCATTTTCTTGGAGAGCCAAAAGGCTGGAATTGGGCATTTGGTTATATGCATTAACAACTGCACATTATAATTTTAATACTTGTTTTTGGTTCTCTTTCGTTTGATGGTTTTAGTATTCGTTCTAAATTGATAGATATTACCGAGAGTGGTTCTGGAAGCATTCCCCAGAGAGCTACTCAGAAAGAAGAAACTAAGGGATCAAGCTATCAACCTCATTGTCACAGAGTGCAAGTAAGGTCCCTTGGAATATAAAATTCTGTACACTGATGAAGATCTTATTCTTATCCGGGTAAGGATATCAGTCCTCTGATAGCACTTCAAGAAACGTATTGATGATTTCTTTGATCAATAGGGAAATGGAATATGATGGTATCGTGTTAGAGTCTTGGTCGAGGTGGGCAGCTTATGGGGTTTTGCATGATCCAGACATGCGGACAATGGTATGATCTGTAAGCTGCTCCAAAGCTGTTCCTATCTTAATGTCACATCTTTCGGGGTACTTTTCCTCCGAGCAAGTCTATGGAGAAGATTTCACATTGTAAACCTAGCGTATGTGGAGGAAAAATACCCCGAAAGATGTGTAATTAAGTAAGATTGGTGAACATTCTTATTGTAGGATGCAACTTGAATGTTCCTTTTAAGTATTAAAAATGATCATGATCCTTCATACTCGCTCTTCCAGGCATTGCAATTCATAAAACAACTTGGAAATGCCCTCCACTCCACGATATCTCCAAGAAATCAGGAGCAACATATGCAGTTTATGTATGTCATAGGTCCACCTCATTCAGAGAATCTTCAACCATACGACTTTGGACCAGAAGATCTCCGAAGCGTGAAAGATTATGTGGATGGCTTCTCTCTCATGACCTACGATTTCTCCAGTCCCCAAAAACCTGGCCCGAATGCTCCTCTCAAATGGATAGGCTTTACCCTTAGGCTCCTGCTCGGTTCATCTGACAGTGTCGACCAAAACCTGGCAAGAAAGATTCTGCTCGGTATCAACTTCTACGGCAATGACTTCACACTTTCTGATGGTATGAACCATTATCAAGACTGAAGAACTCACTTAGGTGGTTCGTTCTTAGTTCTATACCTTGTCGAACTAACCTATGAAATTTTTTCATTGTTGTGGTGAATGTGCAGAATCGGGCGGTGGGGCAATAACCGGAAGGGATTATCTCTCGTTGCTCGAGAAGCAGAAGCCGACGATTGAATGGGATAAAGAGAGCGGAGAGCATTATTTTGTGTATAGAGATGAGAAAAGGAACAAGCATGTTGTTTTCTACCCGACATTGATGTCAATCCTTGTGCGGCTTGAGAATGCTCGTCTGTGGGGTATTGGCGTCTCCATCTGGGAAATCGGACAAGGCTTAGATTATTTCTTTTATCTTTTTTAAGTGATGTCCCCCCTTGTGCTTCTTCTTCATTGTAGGGCTTATCAATTGCGGTTTCAAGTCTTGAGAGTGATCCTTTTGTACGATGTTTTTTTTTTGTGTGTGTTAGGGACGAAGATAATTTTTTGAAATCATCCGCACCACTGGTCGTCAAATTGTATTACCTATTCCAACAACAACAACGAAAAACAACAACGTGAGATTCTGATAACCGCAAGTAATAATAAAATTTAAAAAAATAACAATGAAAATATTGGTAAAAGGACGAGATAAAGAGGCCCTCTACCTGAGAAGGATGGTAAGAACAAATATAAATATGGATGACGACAGTGCCTGATGACCATAGAGACCGACTCTCAGTTTCAGATCAAATCAAATTTCGAATCGAGCGGGAAAGGGGAGGGAAGAGAACCCCAACCTCCCTCCCTCCAAAATTTTCTTCTTCGGTCCTCTCCTCGCTAGGGTTTCTTCGTCTCCCTACTCTCTGTTCTCCCGGTACGAATCCTAGGGCATTGATGGGTAGAACAAAGCACTTCGCTTCCTCCCGACAGGATCGGAAACAACGAGGTGATTTCTCTGCTTCTATATGCTGATTTGTTCGCCAGGTGTTTAAATTTCTTCTCGTAATTTAGCCTATTTAGGGTCCAATTTTGTCGTTCCTAACCCTAGGTTTTTCGTCCTGATATCGCAGCAACCGGGCCATCAGATGCAGGACCGAGTACGGTACGCTTTCTGTCTGTGGCCGTGTTCCCTTTTCTGTAGACTCTCCTTCTTACCGATAATCTTTAGATTTTGTTCATCATCTAACGATGATTTTGCTTTGCAAATGCTGTAGGACCCGACGAGTACGGGTCCTGAAACTGGGGATGGTGCTCAGCAAAGTGAGTTTTAGGGTCTATTACGTTCCTGGGTTATCTAATTCACAGTATCTTACTCAGTTATCTGAGCTACGTTTTATCTCTGTTGTGTGATATTTTTCTGGCGGAAATTGCAGCTACTCCGACTACTTCACCACGTCGGGTATGTTTTCTGTCCCTCGCTATTCTCTGCTTCCCTCATTTCTTATAGCGTGTGCTTCGTTTTGCTCAAGCATTTCTCTGTTTGCGTATGAAGGCACCCAAAAAGAGAGCTAGGAAATCTAGACTGGGAACCACACCAAGTGAGTCTTTAAAATAACTTTTGCAGTGCATTGATTGCAGAACATCTGTGGTGGTCACACTGTGTTTTTCTATTTCCTTGTGATTTCTCTCCCTAAAGAAAGCCCGAAGAAAAAGCCTCATCGCTACAAGCCAGGAACCGTTGCTCTTAGAGAGATTCGGAAGTATCAGAAGTCAACGGGTTTTCTGATTCCAGCTGCAAGCTTCATTAGAGAAGTGAGTTTCTCCAACTCCTTGTCCTTTTGGATTCTACCGTCGAAAGATGAAGTTGAATGGACTTTAGAGCATTATTGCATGCAATGCAAATGCCAGCTTGATAAACCGTGGTCAATGTGATACAAGTTTTTCCTTCTTTTGGGAATTTTTCATTGTTTAAGATATGATATTAGGATGTGCACCAAATTTTGAGTAAATCATGCCTGCAAAGCATCGAATCGAGTTAGAATTGAAACATCAAACATATCACCAGACAGCCTTTGATTTCGAGCTATGGATGCCTGTAGAAATAATTTATTCATTTCCAGTTTAGGCTGCTAAGCATGAGTAGATAGCAATGTGGAAGTTATGACTGTGATAAGACTCCTGATCCGTACATTTTTACTTAGAGAGACAAAGGAAGGTCACGTGCAAGAGGAGGCATGGTTCCCCTTGTCTGAGAATTTTACAGAATGTCAAGTGTTTTGAGTTTGCTATGGGTTTCGACTTTTTGTTACAGGTTCCCTAGATGTCTTGGGAGTTTCATAATCGTGTTGGGTTATATTCCATTTTCTCTATGGGTTCGTATCTTATATTTGGGACTTTTATCATGAAGTAATGAACAAGGAGATAAGTCTGTCTCTCAAAATAGAAGCGTAAGAACAATAGAATCTGACTGGATTCGATCAGACTGCAGGGGACAATCCACATCGCTGTTGTTACACGAGACTCTAATGGACGAATTCATAGAAATATTTTTTTTTAATTCAGGTGAGAAGTATCACCCACATTTATGCCCCTCCAGAAATCACTCGCTGGCAAGCTGAAGCTCTTGTGGTGCTTCAAGAGGTAATATATTATTGTCCCCAAATGTGAAATGATAACCTAAATCACATAGACTCCTGTTTATCATGATAATATCTGCCATGCTGATCATGCTTGCATTTGAAACGTGTTCATCGGATTGAACAATTCAACCCATCTTCGTCTAGTCTTTTTAGATCTGAAAATACACATGGATGCTCACGCACACAATGTGCACTCGTTTCTCCTGATAACTAATGAAGGCATGAGTTCTGAATCCATTTTTGGTGCAGGCAGCTGAAGATTTCCTAGTCGGTCTATTCTCAGATGCAATGCTTTGCGCCATTCACGCGAAACGTGTTACTCTAAGTAAGTCGCACAGGTTTCAGTTGTAGGATTACTCTAAGAAGCCAAGTCTGTACTGTCTTAATATTCTTTCTGTTGATAATATATCAGTGAGAAAAGACTTGGAGCTTGCACGCCGGCTTGGAGGAAAAGGCCGACCATGGTGATGGCAAACACCAACTAGAAGGTACCTTATCTGTTAGGGTATTGTATCTGTAAAATCTTGGACGTAGAGTAACAACCTTAAATTTGTCACATGTGGTAGTTTATTTCACAGGGTCTGTTTTTGGTCCGATCCACCCAACACCTGACATTAACTGGGTATCTTTTGATTTGAAACGATGATTATGTCGTGAAAATCGTGCTCTCTGTGTTTGTAACTTTGTATAGCCAGAATTGTAAGGAGATTGCTGGTATGGGTATTACGGTGAATAAAATCTTAGTAAGGGGGTCTGAATGATCAAAAAGAAAAGTGCGTGGAAAGATTTGTTAAAAAGAAAATATTATTGGAAAAAATATTCTCGTGGACTCTGGGCTCTCTACTGGGCCTAGTTAAAGTTGTGGGCCCAATTGATTATGGATATATATATTTAATATTTTTTAATTTAAAAAATTGAACCTGACTCTTTAGTACCCTAGCTCTAGAATGAAAACAGGAAGCCACGTGTCAGGTGCCGTTGCAACTATATAGTTGGTTCGGTGAGAGACAGCCGCAGGATGACCGATGAAAACAGGAAAAATATGAATTTGTAAATGACTTTATTTATTTTCGAATTTGTATTTTTGAATATAGTATTTTCTGAATTTATAATTTTGAGTACAGTAATTTCTAAACTTATATTTTTTAATACAGTAATCTCTAAATTATGAATTAATATTACACCAAATTATAAATTTAAAAATTTTCAGATATTTTTTTGTCCAGAACAAAAAGAAATCTTAACGTTCGGGTATAAATAGTGGATATCCTCTTTGACCTAATTATATAAATCCCTAACAAACTTTCAACCCATCTTTTTATTATTATTATTATTATAGTTCTAACAATATTTTATCTTCATTTAATTCAAGAGAGGTCGAAGGGTAATTAATACCGGTACGCAAATAAAAAAGTAAAAAATGTGGTCCTCGATATTCAATTCTTCACCCTTTTTTTTTACATCGGAACTAATTTTACCTCATTTGTCTGCCCCACAAAATTTGTTGATCTCCAAGGGTAGTTAGTAGTCGGTTGAGTGAGCATATAATGATTTCGGAAGAGAAAACATCATATGATATCATGTAGTATATATATGTTTAAATATTATCATGAATATCCATTCGCTTTTATTTGTTTCTTGTTAACTGTTGTTCGGTTTATCATAAATTATGCGTAAAAGAAAGTGTTACAAGACGGACTCATTAACCTATCCAATAGATAAAAATGGTTGAAAAATGTGAGGGAGTAAATGATGTAATGAATGTGTTCGTAGTTCCCTATCCATATGCACACGCGGAGTTGAAATGAGCGTAATCACAATGACGATGATTCAGAAAACGAGATTACCCCAAATCAAATGTAGAAACCAAACCGAACAGTGGAAGCTGAGTCCGGTTTCCACACTATAAAAATGGCTTCCTCGTGTCCCTTTGGAACGATACACACACTCTCTCTCTCTCTCGTACAAAACATCCTGAAGTATTCTTGTTCTGCCACGAAGCCCTAGAGATCCTAGGTACGTACTGTACGGCTCTTTAGAAGAAGAAGAAAATAGTTGCAAAAGCTACAATCAGTTGTTTCAGTTCAGATGGATAAGCACCGCAAGAAGCAGCCAAAGACCAATCCCCCGCTTGTCTCCTCTTCCTCTGAAGGCATCTCCTCCTCTCTTCCCCACGCTGTCGTACGTTTCCCATTCTTCCTTTTTATTTTTTATTTTCTAAATGTGATTTTTTTTTTTGTATGAAGCAGAAGTGAGTAGCATCGAGTGGGAAGAGGTAAACATGTCCCGAGAAGAAGAGGATTTGATCTGCAGGATGCATAAGCTTGTTCGTGACAGGTTAATTTGCTCCTTTTCCAAAACCCTATATATCCATTTTCATTTATTTTCCAAAACCCTATAATTTCACTTGGAAAACTGATTATCGATTATGGATAGCTATTCTTAGCTTTCGAAAAGACCAAAAAACATGAATGAAATATATAATCATGTTTTAAATATACGAATGGTGAAGGTGGGACTTGATAGCAGGGAGGATCCCCGGAAGAAGTGCTAAAGAGGTCGAGAGGTTTTGGGTCACGAAGAACCACCGAACTTCCCAATTACCTTGATTTCCCCTCTCCTATGTATCATCGCTTGTTTTTCCCTATCAATTAAAAAAAAAGCAAGGTTATATAATATTGTTTTTTTATTACTTTCTTCACGATATACCTATAAAATATCGTTTTATATGCTCCTATATATCCAAAACATCGATCATATTTTATGACAATCCTCTGATTAAAAAAAAATGAATTAATATTCAGATTAGCCAGATATACACAATTTATTACCCAAGAAAAAAAATAACGCATGGAACAATAAAATCTTCATGGATGATGATGATGGAATGCCTACAACTACAAGGCCCGTAACCAGATATACACGGGTTCAAAACAGTCATGTGGGCCTAAAGCCCAATAGGTTCAAAACAGCAGTTTGAGCCTAAAGCCCAATGGGTTCATCCATGAGGAAGAAATATCCGATGCATTGTTTGGAGCGGACAATGGTTGATTGTTTTTTTTTTATTGATTGTAGTGACAGTGGTGACTTTTCCCAATAAAGATCTTTCCATTTTTTTGCCCAAGTTCTAATTTTGGATAAATATATCAAAATTTTCACCAGGACTAATTACAAATAAAATATGTTATCTCGATACAATTTAGCTTATAACGATATATACCCTTATACCGGAAAAAAAATAGAAATTATTTCAATCTATTTAAAATAGAATAAAAAACACAATCTATGTAGTTAATCCCTGACGCGAATAAAAACAACAAGATATTTTTATTTTCTTATGATCATAGATACTGTATCTCAGTCATATGTCAGGCCGTGGTCTATATATACAGTATTGAAACTGAAAGTGCCAAACAACCTACCTACAGCAATGCAAAAAAAATGGTTGTTGTTTTACATGTGAGGAAACGACATGATGTTGCCCTCAGGACCCCCTTAACTTGCCGTTTTTATATTCAATGGTCCAATCCAACACCTCATACCTTATTATTTCCCTAAGCCCCAGAAAGAAATGTGTAAGAGAGATGCCGACCCCAAAAAAAAACACAGCCATTGCAATATTCAAACGCCCAACCACTATATGTTTGGACTGTGATTTCGGTAAACAAAAGCAACACAGATATGTTTGGACTGACAATTATTCAGATCGAATAAGCAAAAACTAAAATTCCACAAGAACATTTAATGGGTTCCATCTAACTCCATTTGATGGGCCTTCCACTTGGAGGCCACTTCACCAAATGCCCTTGCGGAGGACCCATCGTCCCTCAAGGCCCTACGAGCAGACTCTTTCAATTCCTTCATCCTTTTCCTCAAATCTATGTAGTTAATCCCTGACGCGAATAAAAACAACAAGATATTTTTATTTTCTTATGATCATAGATACTGTATCTCAGTCATATGTCAGGCCGTGGTCTATATATACAGTATTGAAACTGAAAGTGCCAAACAACCTACCTACAGCAATGCAAAAAAAATGGTTGTTGTTTTACATGTGAGGAAACGACATGATGTTGCCCTCAGGACCCCCTTAACTTGCCGTTTTTATATTCAATGGTCCAATCCAACACCTCATACCTTATTATTTCCCTAAGCCCCAGAAAGAAATGTGTAAGAGAGATGCCGACCCCAAAAAAAAACACAGCCATTGCAATATTCAAACGCCCAACCACTATATGTTTGGACTGTGATTTCGGTAAACAAAAGCAACACAGATATGTTTGGACTGACAATTATTCAGATCGAATAAGCAAAAACTAAAATTCCACAAGAACATTTAATGGGTTCCATCTAACTCCATTTGATGGGCCTTCCACTTGGAGGCCACTTCACCAAATGCCCTTGCGGAGGACCCATCGTCCCTCAAGACCCTACGAGCAGCTTCCTGCAAAATTTTCATTCTCTTCCTCATCTCTTTACCTTCTCCCCCTTCTATCAGTACCTTCACCACTCTCCCTATCTCCTCTTTCCCTGTTATCCCATCGCTTCTCGGCCGAGGCCTCAATGCCACTTTGATTTCATCCGTCAGCAACAAAGCGTTCATCTTCTGCTCTGCGTACAACGGCCATGCTATGAGCGGCACACCGTTCACTACGCTTTCTAGTGTCGAGTTCCATCCGCAGTGCGTCAAGAATCCGCCCGTAGATGGGTGGGCCAGTATTTGGACTTGTGGGGCCCATGAAGGGACCACCATACCCCTGTCTCTGGTCCGGCCCAAGAATCCGGTCGGCAAAAATGACAAGGGGTCATTTTGGTTATGTGAATCGAAAAAGGACGAGTTTGCCGAACTACTTGGACTCCGTATAACCCACAAGAAACGTTGAACGCTCTTCTCTAGACCAAGAGCCAGTTCGTTGAGCTGTTCGCAAGTGAGTGTTCCTCCGCTTCCGAATGAGATGTATAAAACCGAAGCGAGCGGTTGGTTACCCAGCCATTTTAGACATTCTGACTCGTCGGTCCGGTTAGGGTCCGACGAACCCATGTTAACCAACGGTCCGACCGGGTAAATAGTTGGCTTATCGGGAGCTGGTTCTTGGATGGATTTTATAGCGTTTGGTTCTAGCTCTATGAAAGTATTCACTAAAATGCCTTGGGCTTCTTTGTATCTCTTGGTGTTGTGGAGTAGCAATTTGTACGCCTCGTCCTTCCGGTCTTGAACTGGGTCGACGAGATCCCTACCAGAAACCGGGACGCAACCCGGGAGATGAACCGGTTCGGTCAAGTCCCGATATTCGCCCGGTATGACTTCATCTAGTCTCGGCAAATGAAGGAAAAGCGACAAGACGTTAGCGGTCGATGTGTAGAATATGTACGGCGACACGTTGAACTCAGCGGCTGCGTCAAAGGCGTCCGTGCCAAACAGATCAACGATGAGAGCCGCTGGAAGGCGTCCCTCCGCTTTGAACGAATGGAGCAGACGGCGGAGCTCCGGGTTGGAGCGAACCACGGTGAGTGAGATCCGAGTCTCGATTCGCGCCGTTGGAGGAAGATCGGTTAAATCGACGGGGGGGAGGAAAGCGGCGGCGATCGACGGAGATAGAGACTCGAGGACGGCCCTCTGGGCCTTTGAAGGCGGACCTTCGCCGGCGATGACGAAGGTCACGGTGCACCCGTGGCGGTGGACGAGCCGTTTGGCGAGCTCGACCGCCGGGATGAGGTGTCCCATGCCAGGGCTTGGCATTACCGCCACGTGTGCATCTGATTTTGCCCCCGCCATTGTTGCAATCTTGAGGAAATTCCGCAGATATAGCCTTTTTTTATTGATATATCTCGATGATACAGAAGAATGAAGTTGTCGTGGCCTTTATAATAACATAGCTCGCGCCTCGCGGTGTCTCATTCTCATTAATTTTTATATTTCGTCTCTTTTCTAGTAATTATATTTGGTTTCATTAATGCAGACCATGAATGAGCATTTTAATTTAATAACTCAATATGTTACAATGATATTAAAAAAAGACTAATTGAATTATATTATCAGTAACCTTTTTAATATCTGTTATATGTTTCCTTTAATATATATTTAACTTTGCTAAAATACACAATATAGTACATTGGGGATAAGTGGTTTTTGAAAACTGTTTTAATTATCAGTATATGGGATAGATGGATGCAGAACTAATTATAAAGACATTTTATATTATATGCAAACACAAGAGCGTATGGGTTTGATAGTGATGAATAATTAACAGCTTTGAATCATTAGGGACTGCATTGAATAATTTGGACTGTGGATTACGGACGTGTGCGTGTTACATCTTACACGTGTACGCGTGGAAGTCAGTGTGATCGTAATGCTATTGCTCCACGATTTTTCTATTCCGGTTTTCTGGGGATTTGGGACAAAATCTTGTCGTGTGGCTAATGGATTGTTCAATGGCTTGAGCTTGTGCGGCCCGTTATCTCCTTATCCGTAACGTAACTACACTGCCGATTTTATAATTGCACGTATATACACTTTGTGTTTTGTTTGTCATATATATATATATATATAACAAATGACGTGCTCAAAAGGTAAGGGAGATAAAGATGGGTTCGATTTTTCGTGGATCACAAATACCACTAAATCGATAGAAAATGTGACCAATTTTGATTTAATTTTGTTTGGTTCGGTTGAATTTAGTTCGATTTAGTATCTATATTGCGTTGTAGATGTTAAGTACTATTTTGTAATCCTCTTTGTTCTTATTTATATTTTTAAAAAGAAGATAAATATTTTGCCAACAATTAGATAGTTATTTAGTTGTAGCTAAATTAAAATTGAGTCCACACATTGGGAATAAATAAGTATTAAAAGGGTGATCATACTCGATTCATTTATATATATTTGTATGGGGTGTGGATATTAATTAGTAATTTATTTATAATCTGTAAATTCATCGGATTTTTTAATCAAATTATATATCTCAGAATATCGAAAAAATTCAGTTGAATTTTTTTTTTCAATGAATAACCGAATTTAGTTGAAAATAATTTTTACTATATTTTTTACTAGTAACTATTTTATTTAGTTAAATTGATGATTTTTTTTATGGACTATGGAGTGTGGTGGATACCACGAAAGCAGCTCGCGGATCAATGAAATTGGGAGCTGCTTATTTATTTAGAGCCACACAAGAGCAAGTCCAAAGCTTGTCCCATCAAAGCAACAATTAATATTTCTTTATTATTCTATAAATGTAAAAGAGTCGTGTCATATGGAAAGTTAGAAACGTTGTGAATAGAAAGAGTATATTATATGATTGTTGTTAGTTGTTACAGCCACTGCCCACCCAAATAAATATTTATTATCAATAAATAAAATACGAATGAGAATATTTCATTTACTCGAATAAACTTTATTACAAGAATGAGACCATTTCATCTTGAATAAATCTTAGTAGTCACCCTCTAATTGGGATATGAAGTAAGTATATGCGACACGCCATTAACTATTTAAAATGTATACTTAAATAATAAATCTGATGTTATCGTTTATTTCAACAGGGACATTTAAATAAACCTTAGCAATAGTATTCAAACTTGGATGAACTAGTGGTAAGAGAACATGCAAATCATGCTCTCATCCTGAATTCAAACCCAAACGTGGATAGGGGTATTCATCTGAACTTTTCCGGTCCTCTGGGAGATGTAGTCGGGCCAAAGGCCCGGTGAACTTCCGGATTATAAAAAAAAAAGCCTTAGCAATAGTATGGCATATGCCACTGCTGGTGACGAGATTAGTAGTCAGCCCAGGGGTCATAGCACATCAACGGCTAGTTTACTAGAACGACAGGCTGTTTGAGTCTGTGCCACCACCTAAACGGCGTCGTGTTACCTATTGGGCTTGTTAGGCCGAATTAACTTCGGGCTAATATAAACGTCTCCTTTTTGCCCAGTTAAAGGACAGTGTAAATCAGATTTTTCGTGTCTGCAGTCTGCCAAGAGCCCCCTGTTGATGAGTGGGCTGTTATCTGGGCCTCTGTTTTGGATTCGGCCCATGAACCCATGAGACAAATACGTCAATGGGTCGAGAATGGCCGAGTTGGCGATTCCACTCGGGGTCCGTTACACAACCCATAGAAATCGTCGGTGGTTGTCCTCTGTCTGTCCAGAGCCATCTCGTTGAGTAGGCCCACCATGGGCCCCACAAGCGTAAGAGAGCCGAGGCCAAGAGAAACACCGCAATTGGAATAAACAGACCCCCAACTTCTGTTCAATTTCGACACGACATGTGCAGTAAGATTGCGACTGAATCAATCACCGAGTCTCGTAAGGTTGTGCGATAACTACAACAACGGTTTACGGAGACAACAAAGCAACACATATGCTTGGAAGAAGTAATTCCGCAGATCATATAAAATAAAAAATAAAAAAAGCCGTTTAATGGATTCCATCTAACTCCATTTGATGGGCCTTCCACTTGGAGGCCACTTCATCAAGAGCCCTTGCGGAGGACCCATCGTCCCTCAAGACCCTACGAGCAGCTTCCTGCAAAATTTTCATTCTCTTCCTCATCTCTTTACCTTCTCCCCCTTCTATCAGTACCTTCACCACTCTCCCTATCTCCTCTTTCCTTATTATCCCATCGCTTCTCGGCCGAGGCCTCAATGCCACTTTGATACCATCCGTCAGCAAAACCCCGTTCATCTTCTGCTCTGCGTACAATGGCCATGCTATGAGCGGCACACCGTTCACTACGCTTTCTAGTGTCGAGTTCCATCCGCAATGCGTCAAGAATCCGCGCGTAGATGGGTGGGCCAGTATTTGGGCTTGACGGGCCCATGAAGGGACCACCATACTCTTGTCTACGGTTCGATCCAAGAATCCGGTCGGCAAAAATGACAAAGGGTCATTTTGGTCAAGAATCCGGTCGGCAAAAATGACAAGGGGTCATTTTGGTTATGTGAATCGAAAAAGGACGAGTTTGCCGAACTACTTGGACTCCGTATAACCCACAAGAAACGTTGAACGCTCTTCTCTAGACCAAGAGCCAGTTCGTTGAGCTGTTCGCAAGTGACTGTTCCTCCGCTTCCGAATGAGATGTATAAAACCGAAGCGAGCGGTTGTTTATCCAGCCATTTTAGACATTCTGACTCGTCGGTCCGGTTAGGGTCCGACGAACCCATGTTAACCAACGGTCCGACCGGGTAAATAGTTGGCTTATCGGGAGCTGGTTCTTGGATGGATTTTATAGCGTTTGGCTCTAGCTCTATGAAAGTATTCACCAAAATGCCTTGGGCTTCTTTGTATCTCTTGGTGTGGTGGAGTAGCCATTTGTATGCGTCGTCCTTCCGGTCTTGAATTGGATCGAGAAGATCCCTACCAGAAATCGGGACGCAACCCGGGAGGTGAACCGGTTCGGTTAAGTCCCGATACTCGCCCGGTATGACTTCGTCTAGTTTCGGCAAATTAAGGAAAAGCGACAGGACGTTAGCGGTCGATGGATAGAACACGTAAGGTGACACGTGGAACTCCGCGGCAACGTCGAAGGCGTCCGTACCGAACAGATCGACAACGAGAGCCGATGGGAGGCGTCCCTGCGCCGTGAAGGAGCGGAGAAGGCGGCGGAGCTCCGGGTTGGAGCGAGTCACGGTGAGTGTGATGCGAGTCTCGGCTCGCGCCGCCGGAGGGAGATCGGTGAGATCTACGGGGGAGAGGAAGGCGGAGGCGATCGACGGAGGAAGCGACTCGAGGACGCATCTTTGGGAATTCGACGGCGGACCTTGGCCGGCGATGATTAGGGTTACGGTGAATCCGTGGCGGTGAACGAGCCGTTTGGCGAGCTCGACGGCGGGGATGAGGTGTCCCATGCCGGGACTCGGCATGATCGCCACGTGTGCTTCTGATTTTGCGTCCGCCATTGATGCAACATCCAAGAAAATCGCGGATCTTGCTTTTTCCTCTTTCTTTCTTACTAATTATCTTTCTTTATAATAAAGGGCTATTAATGCGGTTCGATAATTGATTACGCATTTATTAGGAGCCTTCTTTAATATCTAATATGGGGTTCCTTAAAGACTCAGTAATTTATCTAACATATTCAATATAATTCATGAAATGAATCAGGTGGTTTCTAGAACTTGTTTTTTTCCCCCGTCTTTGTGATAGATATTGATCGACAATTTTAAATATAATTTTTTACTGAACCCAACACTATATATATGAGCGAACGTATTTTACATTTAAATGGAAGCGCAATTCGTAATTTTATCGTGCTGAATAACATATTTCATATATTGGATGCTATTTTTTTTACGAATTCATTGTAAATTATAATCAAATGATTGGACGGAGCGCAGAGTGCGGCGGAGTGGTTCGGGAACGGAGGCGCGCGAGTCGCATATCACACGTGCGCACGTGTACATGTGGGTGCGACGAAATGCAAATGAAAGTTCCAGCAGCGTGACTATGAAAGTCGCCCAGGCTCCAAGAGGGTGATAGGAAAACGGCGGCACATCCACGGCTTGTGTACTAAACGACAGGCTGTTTCCGTCTTCCATTACTGACACCTAAACGGCGTTGTTTTACTGATCGGCCTAATTACAGGCCCATTTATAATTGGGCTATATAATATAAACGTCTCCTAAAGCCTTTTTTACTCAACAAAAAAAATCTAAAATTGGGCTGCATTTCTACACCTGAATGGATTAGAACTATGTTTTTACGATTTCGGATTCTGTAATGATACAGTTTGTTTGCATAATTGAGAGACATACGCTTATATTGTTGGGCTAGAAATAATAACCATCCGGCCGATCCATTAGAAATTATTCGAAACGACTCGCTATCATGTCGGTAAATTAAAACTTACAAGACATACATTAATAAATCCATTTTACTTGTTGAGTTGATCAGCTTTTTACCCACCTGAAGGACACTAAATCATCAAGTGTCCTCGTAGAGGAGCCATCGCCACTAAAGGCCATGGACGCTGCTTCCTTCAGCTCATTCATTCTATTCCTCACTTCTTCCCCTTCCATTAGCCTTTTCGCCACGTCGGATATCTCTTCCCGGCCGATGACCCCATCGCTGAAACTCGGTGGCCTCAAAGCCGCTCGGATTTCCTCGACCAGAAGCAGAGCATTCATCCTCTGTTCTCCGTATAAAGGCCACGCTATTAATGGGACGCCGTTCACAATGCTCTCTAGAATGGAATTCCAACCGCAGTGTGTCAAAAATCCGCCTGTTGATGGATGGGCCATTATTTGAGCCTGAGGAGCCCATGATGGAATCACTAGGCCTCTGTTTTGGGTTCGGCCCATGAACCCATGAGGCAAAAACGTTAATGGGTCGTCGTCACCTTGGCTGTGTGAGTCGAGAATGGCCGAGTTGGCGATTCCACTCGGAGTCCGTACAACCCATAGAAATCGTTGGTGGCTGTCCTCTAAGCCCAGAGCCAGCTCGTTGAGTTGGTCCTGCGTGAGTGTTCCTCCGCTGCCGAAGGAGACGTATAGAACCGAGCGGGGAGGTTGTTTGTCTAACCACTGGAGACATTCAGATTCCGACTTTTCGGTCCGGTTAGCATCGGATGAACCAATGTTAACCAATGGCCCGACCGGGTAAATCGGTGGTCTTCCGGTGGCCGGTTCTTGAAGGGCCTTTATAGCTCTGGGTTCTAGCTCTTGGAAGGAATTCACCAATATCCCATGGGCTTCTCTGTATCTCTTGGCGTTGTGGAGAAACCATTTGTAAGTGTCGCGCTTCCGGTCTTGAACCGGTTGGAGCAGATCCTTACCAGGAACCGGGACACAGCCCGGGAGGTGAACCGGTTCGGTCAAGTCCCGGTACTCACACGACACCGTTTCGTCTAGTTCCGGCAGGTAGAGGGCGAACGCTAGGGCATTGGCGCTCGACGTGAAGAACAGATACGGCGCCACGTGGAACTCCGCCGCCACGTCGAAAGCGTCGGCGCCGAAGGGGTCGACCACTAGAGCCACCGGAAGGGGTCCCTCCACCTCGAATGATCGGAAAAGCTGCCGGAGCGCCGAGTTGGAGCGAATCACGGTGAGCAAGAGACGAGTGAAGACCGGTGGGTGATCGCTGAAATCTGGAGGTGGGAGGAGGACGGTGTTGATGGAGGGAGAGAGAGACTCCACGACGGCTCGCTGGGACTTTGTCGGCGGACCTTCGCCGGGGATGACGACGGTGACGGCGAGGCCGTGGCGGAGGATGAGCCGCTTGGCCAGCTCCGCAGCGGGGATGAGGTGTCCCATCCCAGGACTCGGTAGGATTACTACGTGTCCTGCTGCTTTTGCTTCCGCCATTGACGCAAAGCTCTAAGAAGAAACTGAGGATTTCTCTGTTCTTTTTTTTTTTGTTAAAGACAGAGAAAGTTGACGTCTGAATTTGCCAATGGTAATCAATTGAAACATGAAAACTCAAGTGTTGACTTTGTGAAAACAGTTGGCGAATCACTTTCACGTGGTGACTGTCGGTGCAGTGACGCTCTCTCCTCGTTGTTCATTACAAAAACGCCTTTACTTTGCAACCAAAAAAAAAAGTTTTATCTTCAAATTACATAAATAGAAAACAAGTGCCAAATGATTTATTGTACACGAAAACACAATATCTACACTCGCTAGAACATTTCTTCCCTCGGACAAGGCCATAATCATCATCATGATGAATCATCAAATTCAAAATGTTTTCGTGTTTACATCATCTTTTACACCGATTCGGGTTAAGCATCAACTCCATAAGCAGATCGTTCCAGGAATCAATGGGACCCGGTAAGCACCAGTGCAGGCAATCGTTCTGAACTTGGTTTGTCTTGTCTTTCACACCGGCGAACGGATTCAAATGCCTGTACGGCCCCGGATGACCATCCGGTCGGTCCAACGACATAATCGTTGTATCCAACAGTCTCACATGGGATCCACCGCTCTCCCCAGTTCCAGAACCTTCACCCGCTTTCTGGAACTCCTCTAACTCGATCTCCCTCATCACGGTATCCACATCCTTCAGCTCGGCCTCGCCTTCCCGAAAGGGCATTGTTCTGTTACACACCCCACCGCTGTTCCATTCTCCGTTCTCAAAATGATCAGGAGTTGTTGTACGGAACAGGACGAGGGGTTTGTGGTTGGACTGTGAAACGAAGTTGAAAACAAGCCGGAGGGCTTTGCGGTAGGAGTAATCGTAGCCAAGTTCAGTCAGGTTGTTCTTTCTCTGACAGTAATGGCAGCCAGTGATAGTGTTGTTCTCGTGGTATATGGTGGTTTTGAGGAACCATTTACCACCGGAGATAACGACATAGTCAAAGTTATGGTATTGGTCGGTCCATTTACCGTCGAGCTGGTCGAGGTAGAGCTGGATATCTCCCGAGGAAACACCATCTGGATCTTCAAAGGTCTTGGCTTTTACAAGGAAAGGTGACCAAGTCACTGAAAGGGTGAAGTTGTGAGATGGGAATCTCCATATCTTTGATTTGTATTCCTTGTCGTGGTATACTTCATCTGCCTCCTCTACCTGCGTTACAAGTCGAGATTTAAGTGAAATATACGTATACATAAAACGGGAAAAACTGGAAAGATGTCATTTCAGACAAAAGAATCTGGTAGATTCCTTCATTCAGACAGCACACAGCTTGACCAGATTTAACCTACAAGACACATTCGTCAGACACATTATCACCTAGTGGTATTAATAATGTACGTTTCGAATCGGAATACAAAACTATATTTCTTCAACAGTATAATAATTGTATTTAATCATCCACATTAAATGTTTAAACGAAACCAAAAGATGAAAAGAAAACCCTAACGTTTGACTTGTTGAGGAGTTTTCCACCCCCCCTCAAAGACCTTCTCGTCTTAGGGGTGGGCGTTTCGGGTTTCGGTTCGGTATTCAAGCGGTTCGGTTCGGGAACGGTATTTTCGGTTTTATAAAAAGTGTACCAAACTAGAACCGAATGTTAAACGGTTCGGTTCGGTTCGGTTTTAGTATCGGTTCGGTTCGGAACGGTACCATTATATGAATACCAAATAAGTACCGAACTATAATATTTACACATATATTAGTGGAATATTCGAATTTTGGTTCGGTATTCATACGGTTCGGTTCGGTATTCATACGGTTCGGTTCGGAAACGGTTCATTCGGTTCTATAAAAAGTGTACCAAATTAGAACCAAACGTTATTCGGTTCGGTTCGGTATGGTTCGGTTTCGGGACGAATTTCGTCTAACTGATCCAGCAGCTGAAAGAACAATCAAAGCAAGCGAAACCGTTTGAAATTACCTGTGAGAGAGTGCAGAGCAGAGACTGGACGTGGTTACGTGAGATCGAGTCGCCGATGAAAGCCCACCATTTGTTCCTCACGGTGTTGAGAAACCGCTCGGGACTGAACCTCGGAAGATCGCAGTCTCGGGGTTTCCATCTCCAGAAAAGGTAATTCACATCCGGACGTCCGTTCCTCAAACAGTTCTGATAATCTTGGATATGACGGCAGGTGATGTTAGTATATACCGGCCCCGATGGATCCGGAACCCATGCTCCGGTGAAGATATCACACTGTGCTGAAGCTGCAACTCTCATTTAGAGATTTAATCAAACAGATGTTGAACAGAACACTAGAGATTTTGAAATATTTCTGAGTTCCAGGATCATCAAGTTGTGAAATTTAGATCCGGGCAAGTAATTTTTCAGTTGGAAACATGAAAAAAAGCAACCCTCTTCACATAGATAATGAATCCAACACGTTTCGAAAAAAATTTGTGGGTTTTGAGAAACTTCAGATTCCCAATTCCATCAGCTGTAAACTCAGTTTTCGCCATGCTAAACATCAACACGCAGCAAATCAAGTTATTAGGTTCTACTGTTATTAATTCTTCTGATTACGAATACTGCTGTGACTAAAGAAACTGGAGGAATGAAATCCTCCAAGATTAATTCCCGACAAGCTACACCACCAGAATTTTCTGAATGAAAAAGGAGGAACTAGACCTAAGCAGAGGTTTCCTGATAACTTTGCAAAAAGAAGAGAGAAAGAAAGAGACGAATTTCCTATGTTTGCTTCGATCTTACTCTTTATGTTATTTTCTCAGGGGTTCAGTTCAAGGGCGATTTAATAATTGCAGAAATTCATGAACAAATTCTCACCATTTTGTGAAGCAATGCTGAAATCGACAGGCACCGAAGCTTGAGGAGGACCGACGGAGAGATCCGAAGGGGGAGATTCCGGTGAGGTTTGGACATCGGAAACTGGAGAGGTGATGAAGGAATTTGAGACGAGGAGACGGAAGGCGAGACCTATCAGAAGAAAAGAAACGACGAACTTGACAAAGATTTGATTGCGTTGGTGGGATGAAACTAATGGGCTCGTGTCGATCTTCATGTTCTTAAACACTTTATACCTAAAAATTTCCGGAGAAGTTGCAGAGAGAGGGAGGGGGAGAGAGGCGGTTCGTGTGATATTGAATGTATTTATTTGTTTTCGGACGAGAGGTTCGCGACCAAGAAAACATCTCAACGTTAAAGATTTTTTATAAAATATAAAGATAAAATATTATAATATATTTTTGATATATTGTTTATATTTATAATGTTAACAAAAGAAAACGCAAATAAAATACAAAGTATCAACCGTGCTATATTATGTACATAATTACATTAAAAAAAAAAAAACTTCAGTCCGCAACAATGGCTATCAAGAAAAGGGAGATAGCAGCAGGGGCATAGAAATAAAAAAAATGAAGGGAGACTGGACAGGAATAAATGTCCTATTCGGAAGAGGGTTATGTCGTATTTACACCATTGTTAAATGTGCTATTTATGTACGTACGTGAGCCACATTTTCATATGATTGTGAGGAAAATGGCACATGGCCTGTTTTGGACCTCACACCTCAGATCTGATCAGCATCGCTTCCATATTTAATAATAACAGAGAGAGAATGATGTGGTCCGATATCTTCATCATGTGTGGTATTACCAGTTCGAATATAATATTATTGCCCAAAGAGAATAACATTCTTTTACGAAAAATTAAGACGCTATCATAACTTTGTTTCTCCATTCTTTTATTTTCTTTTGTTTGTTTGTTTTTTTTTTTATTTTTTGAAAGAAAAAAAAAACAAAAAACAAAATTTGAAAAAACTTTTGCCAGAGCATAAATGTTTATCTCTGTCCAAAACGACAAAAGAGAGAGAATATTAAAGGAAACACAGCGAGGCCCGTTAGAATAGAATCTCAATCGTTTGCCTGACGTAGAAGTTGGGCCCATCAACGTTAAATCATATACATCCATACGAAATTTACCCTTTTTTGTCACTAAGCCCGATTGCAAATATTCAACTTGCGCGTGGCGTCCACGGCTCAGAGGTTCGACTGGAGTCACACTACAGAACTAACCTTTTCTCGTTCGGTTGAGATGAAATGTCACCATGCCATTCACTAGATACTGGATGCGACTGAATCCATGATTCACATTTCATCGTACAATAACATTACAAACATCTTAGGTTCTCATTTGGAAACTGAAAAAATGTTATGTTTTTTTTGTTTTCTGGGTTTTCAGAGGGATCAAAGAGGGTGGGAGATGAGATCACATATGACACTTACATTTTTTTATACATAAGACTGAATGAAGGCGCCACACATATGTGGTGGTGGGGACTGTAAGAGATCAGCCCATAGCGTATTTCTGAGTCCAGCTGCGAGCGGTGGACTCGTACTTGGACCTGTCAGTCTTGTACATGTGCGCTATTTCTGGCACTAGTGGGTCGTCTGGGTTTGGGTCGGTCAACAGCGAGCATATTGATAGCAATACCTGCATATATATAACATATCATATTTTATACCATTACCGCCCATCCAACAAAACAAGTTTTGATGAACCGATAAAAAAACGCAAAGGGGTTATACATGTAAGTACAATCCCCTTGAAATGTCAGAGCATATGCTTTAAAGATGGAAGTTACTTGCAGAAATTTTCATCTGTCAGAGCAGATACTTTTAAGAGGTCATTTACTACCTTTGATATTGTCAAGGCAGGGCTCCACTGCTCCTTCAAGATATCAAGGCAAATGCTGCCGTTGCTGTTGATATTCGGGTGGAAAACTTTGGTCCTAAATGCAACCTGTACCACAAGCAGCATTGCTCGCTTTTGCACCGTAGAAACCAAAGTCTTTCGAGACGAATTTGAATTTGAACTGTGACAAAGTTACATGGCAATATTACTAACCTTGGGAGGTTTGAAAGGATAATCAGGAGGAAAGTGTATGGTAACTAGGAAGACTCCTCCTGCATAAGGACTGTCAGTGGGACCCATAATTGTTGCTTGCCAATGGAACATATCCTCAGCGACAGGCCCTGCAATTTCATATACCAACTATGTTATGACCAGTAACACTTGTTTGATCAAGATAGCATGACATCCCAGCAACATCCGGCTCGGTACATTAACACCTAGAGAAATTCTGTGCACACTACTCACGAGTATAATGAATCATACATGGAATATCTATTAGAATACTCAAAAAACTTTATACACCCCCGAGAGATCGAAAAGAACCGAGGAGCGCTTTATGCCATGACTAATTGGGTCAGTGAAATATTTCGTCAGCCTGCTAATGGCCTATTATAGGCATGAAGTAAAACAAGAGTCCAGACACTTGTTTAATTATGGACGAAGTCAGATGACTTCTCGAGGACTAAACTTAAGACATTTTGAAAGCTTGCAAGCATACAATTCTAGAAGAGTCATGGCTGATATGTTACATGAGCTAAAACCAGGTTGGACATTTCCTTGCAAAACATAACAAAGAACAAGTTCAAAGCATTAAGCGAAAAAACTAAAATGCTCAGATAAAGCATTATTCCAATAAGACAGAAAACCAGGAACAAAATAATTATCGGTTCGCATAGAGTGAGTGGGCAATGGAATGGACACAAGACACAACAGGTGACGAGTAAAACACCGCCATAGGTCTGCATTCAATAATATGTATTTGAATCGGCTATTCAAAAGGCCAAAGAACGATTTTTCTACATCCCTGATGCCTAACTCAAGAAATGTTCTCTTCATGCGCTGTTTTTGTTTGGACCAGACCTACGTTAATTCGTTAAATTTCCAAATATAGCAATGATTGTAAACTAAAGCAGCCAGTTGTTCAATATTGCTTGATCAACACATATCAAGGTTCATCCACGCCTATGGGTCCTCTCTATACGAACTTCTGACACAATTCGTTTCAAAAAGCCCAGATAATCATCCTAAACATGACGCGGATGGAAAGCCCCAACTTCTAATTCCGCACAATGGACACACGTTAATGATCAGAAAAGGATATCAATGGCCGAAATACCTCTTCTTCTTTTATTCCTGTTTCCAAACAGAAGACGAATTCTTCGATGAACGGGCGAAATACTTCAGAACAAGAGGGCAACATAAATTTCAAACACGTTCAACGGCAAACAAAACTCATCGATCTGGGCAGAGCATCGCCGAGAAAATGAATTGCCGAGAATTACGCCAACACAAACAACAGGGACATGAAACAAAATAACGAAGTTCACACAACATAACATATTGAAACTGTCCGATCTCGCAGACAGATCATTACCCGGAAACTGAAATTACATCCGACATGGAACGAGGAAAAGAAACAAGGAACCTGAGAAAGACGAAAAAGAAAAAGGAGTAGGGAGATCCTAACCCGCGCTGCAAGAGGTAGGAGGATCTTTCTGGAGATCCTTAAGCTCCTTGAGGATCCGCTTCGATGCCATGGACACAGCTCGTCCGGAACCACCACAGATCTGATCGAGAGGAAGAGAAATCTTTCACACAATGTGTGACGGGAGAGAGGGAGATTGAGAAAACGAGGTATGATGCGGTGTGCAATGCGTGGACGCGACGCAGAGGGAGAATAACTGGGTCCAGTTTGGTATTTCGTGGAAATATAGGGCCCTTGATGAATGGAGAACAAAACCGTCGATAGCTGTTCTAAAATTCCGGCTATTTCATGTGGGCTCCACCTTAGAGTTAAAAGGCTTAGTTATTGGGCCATAGGCCCATAATAAGCAAATGGATGGGCTAATATAATTCCTTACATGCCATGGGCTTTTTGAGCTCAATACTAAACGTGGTTTCGTGTTCTGTCTTCGTTATTTTGCGGCATATTTCTTTTTGGTCGGCGTTGTTTGCTTCTTTACCGATCCGATTATATATCACGCACATGCACGATGATTTCATCATTAATCCATTTTTTATATTTAAAAAAAAAAACACAAAATACAATTGATTAGACAAATGGAAAATTAATAAGCTCACCAGTCAGTAAAAAAGGAAACAGAGTTCAAAAGTACAGAATCCCGCTGGCAACTCAACAAACCAATTACAACCGATGGAGGATGTAGAACCAATGACACTTGATGACTATATCTGTGTACATATATGTTACTAATCGTGAAATGATATATAATTAAAAAAATATAAGAATGAAGTAAAAGGGTAGAGCAAAAGAAAAATAGATACGAGCCGTCGCGGTAGATCTGAAATTATGTCGTGTTTCTTAACGTTACTACGCTTGATGCCCGGTCGAACTAGGCCATCATTATGAGTGCAACGTAATCCTGCCATCCAAAGCCAATTGCTTTGTTACCCAATTAAAATGGGGATATCATGACACGTGCGCTATATAGAAATTTACGGCATTGTTAACACACGCTTATGTACGACTATAAAAGCTTTTACCAAAAATATGCAGCTAATCTATAGATTATACAATATGGGTTTATCCAATGCAGACCCACTAAATAAAACTGCGGATACATGTTTTCAAGTAAATAAGAGACAAAACACACGGGTTTACTAATATAAATCCATGTATAAAATATAAAGATCAGAATTTTTCATGTTGTGAATAATATAAGGATTTTTCTATATATAGTGAAAACGGTGAATTATGATAGATTTAGTTATGCTAAATAAATCCACATATACGTACCATTTGAGCATTTTGATGGAACATTTGGCCATATTGGAATCAAGCGTCTGTAATCTAACGCCGCCGCATTTGAGACTAACGCCCACTGTACCAATCCTGCGCCTTCCCACACCCAATCCTACCCTCGTCCTCGCCGTCACCTTCACCACCAACGTCTTACTCTTCAGTTCCTCCCGAAGCCTCTTCGCCGTCGGATCATCCACCTGTTGGTTCCTCAACCTTGACGACACAATCACAACCGTCCGATTCCCGGGCTTCTCCACGAACCCTTTGACTCTCGTTGACCCCACGGCTGTCTCGAAGTCGCCATCTCCAACCGTCAACGCCACGTCAGCGTCGCCGTAGTAGTACCGAAGCTTACCGTTAGGGTTCCTGAAATTCAGCCTCGCCGTCGTCTCCGCCGTCATGAGCGACCATCCATCGTCGGGCTTTCCGCCAGAGAAGTTGAGAGTCTGGAGGCGGAATGAGGCGAGGCGGACGACTGGGAGCTTCGGGGAGTACCAGAGGAAGAATAAGGCTGCGGTGAGGAGAAGGAGGAAGACGACGACGGCGACGGAGATGCAGAAGCAGCACCAGAATACGCGGCAGCGACTCCGTCGTCTCCGTTTCTTCTCCTCCGGGTACAGCGACGCCGGGAGGAGGAGCTGCTTCCGCTGCAGGAGTTTGGTCCCTTTCCCGGTCTCCGGCGGCGGCGCGTGAGGGTCACGGTATCCCGGTGGTTTCTGGAGCATCGGTCTCATCGGCTTTTCCGGCGCCGTCTCTTCTTCGGCGGTCATAGTGGGTCTGGGATCTTTGTCCTGCGCCATATTAACCGGAAGAAAACTAGGGTTTATATACATCGAGAGAGACTAAACAAAGACCGACTGAAATTACGGTGCATTGACCATGTTACGAGTGATAGTGAGGTTAAATGCAGTAGAAATTCGGGAATAACACGCTTCTTGAAGATTTATTAATATTTGTATTTAATGAGAAAATGATGTGTTCTTTTACTTAATTTTTTTGTTTAGAATTTCCAACAAACTGCCATTATGGAAAATACGAAATCACATAATGTTTCACCTTTTAAAAATTGATTGGAGATTTCCTATGTTCCAAAAGTACACTATTAGTTGAAATCCAAACGGATTAATTGTATGTACATAACCCACATGCAAAAATGAAATCTGCCATCTTTTAATGTTATCGTGACATAATATAAAGATAATTGGACAAATATATTAAAAGATAAATACGGATGGCATCAATTCATGATAATGATCGGGTCTAAATTTGGTCAGTCCTTAGGATAATGACCACCATGTAGGAGTGTGTATAGCTGTATATTTGACTTTCACTGTGATCCCAGGTCCTCTTACCAATTTTAATTGCAAAAAGCGTCATTTGCAGACAGCATTGCTAACAATATATTATGGCAACAGAGTATTTTTTAAGTTAATTAAAGGGTAAAAGAAGAAGAAACAGTATCATTTTGTAATAATCTAAATCAAGGTAAAAAAAAATTGATGTTTAAAAAATGATTAGGGCAATACGTATATTTTGATTTATGTAAATGATAATATCAACGTCATGTTATATATATATTAATTGATTTAGCTGGACAACAGCTCATGCAACAATTCAAATTTAAGAAAATACCATAAATCTTAACATATGTATATGACGTGTCGGATACATATTTGAGAACTCGTATATATATATATTAAAGTAATGGGTATGAGAAATGATAGAGATCAGACAAATACACCGTTACTATTATAGCCAAAAGATTGGATATGAAAAAACATTGGACGAACGGGTTTCTGTGAGGGCACATACATTGGTCACACGTTTAGGACGTGAGGCGCACACGTTGTTCGTTCCTTAACACCATTGAACAAAAACAATTTATTAATGATTGAATTTTTTTTTATTTACTTGTGTACGAATGGATAAACACATTCATGAAAACGTTGAAACACAAAACAAAAAAAAATACAAAAAGATGAAATCGACCAATTCAAAATGGAAATTATATCATTAAATAACAGTAATTTTAAAGGCTAATAATAGCAATACACACGCATTGTTTGACGGAATGGGTCCAATAATACATAGGCGAAAATATACAGATGGCTTTATATCTCAACTGTCTCCCAATACAACTATGGAGGGGGGCAGTCCCCTCGAATACAACGCACCAATCTTACGATTACTGTTTACATCTGTTCTTAAATTCCCCAAGTCATTAACATTTCGATATTTTTGGATATTTTCTGAAAGACGACAAGCTTCGGCTGTTTGAAATAAAATAAACAAAAGCTGGAAAAAATACACAAAAACAACATAAAAAAATTGTAATACATTATTGGAGGTGTAAATGTATCTGATCATCGTTTGTCCGCGTGGGATAGAACAAGAGTTGCATGAAAATTTAATATGAAATAATACATCAAAACATGGAGATATTTACGCTCTTAGCATGGAAATAACGCTTTTTTTTTTTTAATGAAGGCATGATTATCCCACGAGGTGACGTGTCATCGAGTGAGTCGAAAGTGGGACCCAGTTGAGGTCCGGAAACAAGATGAAATATCGTATATACCCTCTAGAGTATTGCGTAATAACGAGTGAACCTTGGCTTATGATGTCATGATGATGCCACTGCCAAACCAAAAAGGCCCAAAGAAAGTTTGTAGAATGGGCTAATTACTTCATAACAGTCTTATAACTTTCTTTCTTACATGAACAAAGAGAAAAAAAAGCAGGCTTATAATTGTTGGGCTTAGTGGGCCATGGGTGCAAATTCAAAATGGGCCTGAAACCCCACGGGATGCGAAAGTGATCCGAGCACCATAGAGCTGGATTTTTAAGATAAGAGCGGCGACCAATCAAAGCGCAAGGATCATCCACGTGGCAGAAGAAGGATCCATGTTTGTTTGCCGAGAATCTTTGGTAGAAAGCACTGAGAAAATCGACTCGGGGAAAATTATACAAGAGGCGAACAAGGCACAGCTTCTCGGCGCGCTTCGATGGCGATAACAGCAGCAGCAGCATCGTCTTCCATGGCCGTGATGGTTCCACGTGTTGCCGTCGTCTCCGTTCGCTGCTCCGCCGTCCCTTACCTGCCTCCGCTGCCTCCTCGATCCTTCGGACGGTCATCTTTCGCTACCCCGTCGAAGCTTGTTTCAGGTGAGCCATTTCCCCAGAATCTCTACTTTGGCCTCGGCGAAATGTAAATTGTGGATGTGCGAGCGAGGGGCCGGAAATAGAACTTCCGGTCTAGAATAACCGGATATCGGTTGATTTGTCTTGAATCTCGATTTTGCAATTTTATTATATCCGACGACGTTTAGAACTTGCACAAATCTTCGATTCCTATCTGGTTTCAAGTACGAACTGAGCCTGCACATCGACGTGTCTCCTGTGCATTTATAACAATCCATTTGGATGTGAAAAACATGGATGTAGTGTGATGTTTATGGTATAATTCCGCCATTGTTGTTGTTCAGGAAATGGGTTGCAGAAGCTTCCATTGATGCAAACCAGAGCATCTTCTTCAGAAGAGACATCAACATCGATTGATACTAATGAGCTCTTCACAGATTTGAAGGAGAAGGTAATCCTACACATTGCCTCCTACTCTTGGAACTGAACCAGTGGTAAGTTAGCGTTTTTATTGTTTGGTGTTTCAAAGTGGGATGCTCTCGAGAACAAGTCGACTGTGATTCTGTATGGAGGAGGAGCCATTGTCGCTGTCTGGTTATCTTCCATTGTCGTGGGAGCCATAAACTCCGTTCCACTGGTAATGTCGATTCCCTGTTTCGAACCCACCCTTTTCGCGTTCATAAGAAGTTTGTCTTGATTTGGCTTCAAACCTCTTCTTTTTGTTTTTATTTTCTTTTTCGAATGATAGCTTCCGAAGATTATGGAGCTGGTCGGGCTTGGCTACACGGGGTGGTTCGTCTACAGATACCTTCTCTTTAAGGTAAACAACTCGAGGTCCAACGTTTTGATTGCAATCTAATTCAGTATTTGTAGGAAATACATCGATTTTCCCCGTAATTTCTCCTAATTTTTCCGCATGAGAACCTCTTAATCTTCATAATAGCAGCAAGCCAAAATGAACTGATGACTTGATGAAAATTTTCATTTCGGTGGTCCATTGTCTCAGTCAAGCAGGAAGGAACTTGCTGAGGACATCGAGTCCTTGAAGAAGAAAATTGCAGGGACCGAATAGATCCACAACCAGCAGACGGGTTTTCAGTTCTCAGGCAGAGGATCCTTCTTTATCCCGTGATGTAATGTTATATATACAATCTTTCTTTTTTCGCAGCTCAGACATTGTATCTGTTAGATTCATCTCTGAAACAAACGCCGTACCAATCTCTCTTTCTGCCAAAGAATGTATCGAGATTTTGGTAACGTTTTGAGTTCCCAACAGCATACTTTCTTCTCGTGAACAAGAAAAGTGTATCTTAAAGGGACAGATGGATCAAGAAGCACAGTCGGACTAGATAGATCGAGATGGTTCCAGAAAAAATTATTGAATTGCTGCAAACATCACGATCGTAGTAAAGATGAACAAGAGAAGGGACAGAGTAGTAACATATATTGTATTTTGCATCAGAATGACGATTTCACAACAAAGAGGTTACACAAATACAGAAAATAGTACAAGGCGTGTAATAGAACAGTGAGGAGATACGATTCTACAGCTTGTCGATATCATCATCACCAAACTCGATGTAGTCATCGGCGCCGCCATCGTCGTCCTCATCGAGACCACCTGCGATACCTTCGTTGAGACGAACGTTGTCGGGGAGCTCGCCGTAGGCCTTGAGGAGCCTGGCTTCATCGGGCATATACTTGAGGATGACGTCAGCCTTGTCGTCCTGGAAATCCCGGAGTCCGACGAGGATGATGTCACCGGCGGCGATCCAAACCTTCTTGTGCATCTTACCTCGTATGTGACAAAGGCGCTTGGTGCCGTCGATGCACATGGCTTCGCAACGACCGTTGCCGAGCATCCGGAGAACCTGGGCATACTCTTGCCCGTCTTCCTTGAAAATCAGCTCTCTCTTCTCGTCATCTGCTTCGTTCTTTCCTCTCTTCCGAGGGGAGGAAATCTTCCGATTCTTACCTCCCTTTCCCTTGTTCTTCGGCATCTTGCTCTAATTGAAACCCTAGTTCCTCCACCTCTCTCTTTCGCTCTGTGTTTGAAACCCTAGCGATTTGATCGGCTTTCTGCGGATTCTTTCCTTTTTATAAGGGCGGTTCAGGTGGACCAAACCGCCTCAACGCAGGGAAGTTTGGTGAATTGACGATAATGCCCTTTTTGCATCGAATCGGATCCTGACGCGATTTCTCCTACTTTCGAATCTTATCCTCCTCCGTCCTTGTCGTGTTGCTTGTTCCGCACGCAACCTCCATCAGATGCTGCTTTTCTTTTTCCCAGTTTTATTTCAAATCTCGGAAGAGGTAGTCCATTTTTACGATACATTCACATCACGTTTTTAAAAAAAAAATGAAAGTATACACAGAGACACATAAATTAAACTAATTTGTAGAACATTTTTTTTGGCTATAAAAACTATACTGCAGTTAAGAATGAACTAACGGGCAACACATATAGCAGCTTTTGAGGAATGTGATGTTAATAGAGGGAAGGGTGGTCGTTAGGGAGGAAGATGTGAGAGACGAAGTCAAGAAAGCGGGAAGAGTAGAGGCTGGGATTGACCGCGGAGATGGAGAGGGAGTCGTGTTGGATGGACTTGTAACAGTGCTCTATCCGTTTCCTCACTCCGTAGTTTTGGAAAATGTCTACTATTCCCAGGTACAGCACCACCTCGTACCACTCCTCCTCCCCCTTCCCTTTCGATTCCGTCCTCTTCAACCTTCTCGCCCTTGCCCCTACTTTCATCCCGAAATTGGTGCTTGAACTGATTCAAACCAAAATCCATATGATGAAAACATCAATCAATCCCATGTTGAAGAAAACTGCTGGATTCTGAGTAGTGGGGCGGTATCAGGAGGATCACTGGAGCACTACTGATCGGGTTCTTGACCGGGAAAAAATAATCACTTCTGGAAAGAGACATTACCTGTTGGAGAAAACCTCACCAAGTGTTGATTTGGGTGGGTTTTTTTCTTGCTGAGGGTCAGGAAAGTCTATCAGCACCGGAGTTGAGTTTATGCTTGCCCCTGATTTTGTAGAGACAGAATTCTCACTGACACTGTCGATTGAATCTGAAAAAAAAATGAAGAAATCTACATTACGACACAACAGTTTCTCATACCATTTTCGGGGAAAATCATATAGCTGCATCACGCCATTTTTAAACCCTAATTAACAAATAAGAATGTCCAAGTTATCCCACACATTGGTAGGATGAAGGGGGGGGGGGGGATATCTTTGCTTTAGGCATTCCACAGATGTGTTGACTCAATCAGACAAAGACATTAAGGGTAGTATTGGGATAGTTCACCTCTGCTAGGAGTGCACGAATACACTGTAGAAGATCTATCTGGAGAGTTGGAAATTGCATTAATAAACTTTGAGCTAACGCTATTGAGAGACTCTGCAAGATTAAAGCAATTATCTGAGACATATGCAGAAGTCCTGTTCAATTCCATTGTCCTAAAAGAAATTCAAATTCCTAGTAAATTCAACCAAACAGGATGTGTACCTCGAGGTGAGGAGCTGTCGTAGACAGGGCTTAATTTGTCAAGTGAACCTGCGGCGTGGTTGTCAGAGAAGAGAACTTGGTCACATAAGCAATAATAATCATTTCGTAAACTTAAAGTGTTACCCATAATGTTATCTTCCCCAACCGCCACTGTCATTGAAGAAGGAAAAAAGAAAACTTGACAAGAGATTTGACGGCGAGACGCACCTTGACATGGTCCTTTTACTTGAACACCAAGCATTAGGCTATAATCCATAATGCCCTCGGCTTGCAAAAGTTCACAATCTAGCTTCGTTTGCCTGCAATATCAGAAATGAATAAATCCATGGAAAAAAAGTGTCGTGCCGAAGCAAACATTTATTGTCATCTGCTCTTGAATCAAGATGGTTCAAAGAATTCCGATGAGGAACAAAAGGGAAGGAGCTTTTACTTGATGAGCCGACGTCTGATCAATGGATCCACGTAGAAACAAAAATCCAGGTCAATATCTTTCAATATGGTTTTATCCCTCACTTTGATTCTCTTTGCTGTTCGACCTAGCGGTGAACCTTTCAGATCATATACCTTGCTCATGAAGACATCTGACTGCAGTATGTTTGACATTACAACAAAATATGTCTGCTCGCAAAAGAAACAGAAACACTCTGTTTAATCAAAAGCTCCAAGTAAAACATCGTATCATAAATTTCTGACAGTCTGTTACCTTCACACCTCCAACAGGCTTCACAAAATGAGCACCATATATCTTGGCCAACAATGTTGACCTGTATTTCTGGATATGGCGGTAATAATTGGGCAGCATCTCTAGTATTACCTACATCAAAAGATTCGTCCCTGAGATACCCGAATATCCTTACTATAAAAGAAATACCGAAGAAGAGGTCCATAACATAATACCTTAATTTCAGATTTCCGAAGAATCTTGATGATAAAGCGGTCATCCTTGGAGAGGAGAAAGACTTTACCAACTTTCCCCGAGGAAAGCTTCCGCAGGGTCTCATCGTTACAGATTGAGCGCATGTACTCATCATTTTCAATATCTTCGAGCTGTTGTAAAAGTCTGCAACAATCAATATTCTCGGGTATGACTGGAAATTCTGTTTAAGCATTAAAGAATTCAAGTAGAGTGGCGGCTTTCATGTAAGGGTGGGCATTGCATCAATAGAAAGATAAAAGGCAGAACCTGAAGCCCCTCGGACAGTAGTCCTTCCAGTCGAAGTCGGTGGTAGAACCAGGGGGGAGGTGTTTCACGTGCCTGGACGAGTACTGAATCCTGTGTTTCTCTGTCTCTTTAACATCTCCGGATGATATCTCCCTCGCACACGGTGTCATATATACACACACACACACACACAATCCTCTGCAAGATTGATCAAGAATCATTCATTTTATATGAATAGAAGAAACCATGCATCTTTCTTTTCTCGTATACATATACTGATCCGTGTATCATTATCATACATACATGATTTCACACATCCATAATGGACAAATAATAGGCTCTAGAAATCGGTTCTTCGAATCAACAAAATGGAATTCGAATAGATACGTCTTCCGATGAACCATTGCGAAATCCTAACACAACGAACAAAAAGAACCCTAGAACACATGATTTCTTCAGACATCCACATTTAAAAAAGAGAGAGAGGGAGAAAGAAAAAGAAATCGGAGGAGATCACCTGCTTCACGAGGGGCAATTCGAAGAGAAAGAGAAGAAGAAATCACTGGATCAAATCGAATCGAATCGAAGACCTAGAGAACTATAAAAGAATTTTGGTTTTTTTACTGGTGGAACGGAAACAAAAGAAGTGATGGAATGCCTAATTTTGCCAATGGAAAATTGTTTTTGCGTAAATCCTTTTTTTAGCAATAATTTTTAAAACTGTCTTGTAAAAAAATCGTAATAATATGATTTTGTCATTTTTTTCTATATATATATCTCCATCATGTAATATTTCATAAGGACGTGCATGTTTGGTTAATTTCGAATATCACCTAAACCGATTTGCAACTAATATTTCATTTTATCAATATTTTAGATATGTTCATATTTGAAACTGAAAGCATAAGAACGCTAAACGTGTGTAACTTCGTGCAAAATTTGTTTATTACGAGGCTTAAAAAGTAAAAAAAAAAGAGTAAAAAACGAGTGTAAAAATGTAAAATCCTACAGCTACTAAGCCCACGTGGCAAATACCTGTAGCAAGAAAAGTCATCTCAGTCGTCGAAACGAAGAGCACACATCTCAGCCGTCCATCAATTATCTTCCTGCAAGCACAAACCCGATGATTTCATCAAGAAACAGCACAGCAATCCTCCGCCGTCCGATGACGACCGCATGTGATTCTTTCCCGTCAAATTCCGAATACCGTTCCACTCCGTCAGCGGCGACGGCAGAGTAGACCACGCCGCTGAATCTGAACTGTCGGAGCAATCCACCGAGCCGGAATACGAATTCTCCTTCGAACTCGCTGCTCCGTCATCGGCAGCTGATCTAGACTTTGTCATCCTTCGACTCCGGCTACTCCCCGCCGAGTTCTCGTTGACGACGTTGAATATGTCGCCGGTGATTTCAGAGGCGTCGATGACCATAGCGCCGATGTTGAGGACGCCGTGAAACTTGCCAGATGGAAAGCGGATCTGGAGAGCGAGGAGCGACGGAGCCTTCAAGGAGGCGGAGACTTGAAATAGGAATTTGTCGTTCCAGACGGGATCTTCGGCGCCAATTCTGTCGATTCGTGTCCGGAGCTTGTAGGAAGGGTCTACCCAAATCACCGCGTAGGTCTGCATTCGCCGGAGCTTTCCGGATGACTCCTTCAATCCCTGCGCCGAAATCAAGTTTTTCTGCAGAACGTTCGTCTCTCTCTCTTGTTTGAATTTCTTGGTTACTGCCTGCTTGTAAACAACAGATGGTGAGGTTAAACCAAAAAAAAAACAGATGGTGAGGTTGCGACGAAGACGACGCTGATGTCACATTACGATTTTGTCCTTCAGATTTTAATTTCCAGAAAATGACGAAATCGTCCTTCAGAATTTGTTGGGCTTGGGCCGGCGTCCTTCTACTTCTTTTACTTCCCCAAACTTTTATGATATTGCCTACACCTCTCCTTTTTTTTTTTCTTTTCAATTGCTTCCCCAATATTTCTTTCTGCATCATGTTTACCGTTCACATGCAGTGGTGTACAAAAGACAATCAACAGCAATACAAGGCTTGAATTAGTAGTCAATTCTTCCCTTTTCTTACAACGGAGAATTAACCAAATATTACAAGGTAGAAGAACAATGGAATGTCCAAAAAAAGAAAGGAAAAAAATAATAATAATTCTCCCCAAGAATGAAACTTTTTTTTTTTCCGTTTATACACTTGCAGTGGAGTTTCCTACTGTGATCGGATCATCGTCCTCCGGCAGAGGCTTGACATACTTTCCGATTACTTTCTGTCGACCGCTTCGACTTCTCATCCTGCTAAGCTTATCCTTACTTCTCCTCTTCCTCTCCTCTTTCTCTACGTTCCTTCTCTGCCTCTCTTTCTCGAGCGAACCCTTCCACACGATCTCACCCGTCCACGGCCACAGCCAGTGCCCCGCCCTTCTGTCTGAATCTGCCTCTTCAGCCAGATCCTCGTCCATCGCCTTCAGAGTAGAGTAGTCGAACCATTTCACCCACATCTTCCCTTGCCTGCTCTTGTGACTGTGCTGCTCTTCCATCAGACCCGTCTCTGGGTCCACATACACCATCCTCCTCGCACTGTGGTACGCCCATACGTTCACCAGAACCTCCAGCAACCGCGAATAGCATTGTTTCTCCTGCAACACAATCCACCCTTTTTAGTACATTTTGATTTCATTCCTTGCATTGCAACCACTGGGATCTCGCCATTGTTTCGGACAAGGATGATGAGATTTTGGTATGAATCCTAAACCCGAATCCAATTATCAGAACAGTATCTAGAATCTAACCCTTTCTGTGATGGATTGAGTTGCTATCAACAGCCGTATAAGTTTGTGAGTTGGATTGAGGGTCGGCTGAAATTCCACGCCTTAGGTGAAAGGCACGTGTTAAGTTAGAAAAAAGAGGGAACATTTACTAACTCGGGTTAAACTCAGATAGCATCGGCCTGTCTTATGATGCTCTTCATAGATCTGTGCATCCAACGAATCCACAAACATCCTGCAAACCAGAGAGAAACACCATAAATAGATCAAACAAGGAAAATAGTTATGGGGGCTCGAATCGGAATTATTTTGCATGGAAAAAAACAAAAAGAAATATGAACCTTGAGAACATGATGAACTCCAAAAAAGACCTGGTCGGCAAGGCCCAGCTCTGCATGACAGACCAAGTGTCCCCATCCTCAGGCATTGGTGGCAAAGAATCCAAATGCTTCACACCATACATTTTCTTCAGAGTTTCATTGAAAGCAAATCTTGATCCAAACCCAGGATATTCAAAAAAAAATGTCAGATATCCGAGCCCAAGTCTCAAAACATGCTGTAAATTAAATGGGTTTACCTGCAATTTCCAGCATTTAAGGTATCACAAAAGGACCAAAAGGGTTTCTGTAAAGTATTTCTCGGATCTTTGTCCATGCGAACCCAGAAGTAGAGAGCATCTCCATGCTTTTTTGCTTGAATGGCACTTATTATTGCATTCTCAGCAGTCTTGGATAAAGAAGCCTGTTTCAGGATCCCTCATAATTATGTCATAATTACCAGAAAAAGTTCACCCAATTACAGGAAGGATAAGGTTTTTGTTTAATATACCTTCCTGGCAGTTGCCCTCCAGGACTGAAACCCTATCCATGCATTCTTGTGTAAACGGTCAATCCTGTTTGAAATTGCAAAAAACGCACCGAACTCACCAAGAGCATCACGGTAGTACGGGTTGTTAAGAAGTGCCAAACGAGTTGATGCATCGATATCATCCATTCTTGGCCTCCGGCCTTTTGATGACTGCAGAAGAGTACATTTCACTTCAGTCAAGAAAACATGCAACCTTTCGGTCCATCTTGTTATGGCAAAAACCCTGAATGATTAGACACTAGAATGCATAAGTAAACTCACCAAGCCAACCCCACGATAGAGCGAATACTGATGGAGGAAAGGCCAGGTTCCTTCACCATAATAAGGTTCGTAAATGCATAGAGGTTGACCTGTTCTTAATAGCTCCCCTTCATCCCTCTCGTGTAGATCATTTTTACTCCGGTCTGCCCTTTTGGCGTTTTTGTATACTTCCTCCCATGTTCCATGATACTGGGCAGCTCTTTCTTTCGTCTGCAAGTCACACAGAGCAAATTAACAAGGAGACAATAGAGATGGGACGAGGACTTTGACAAACACTTTACCTCTTCCTCTTCCCTCCTCTTTCTAGCATTCATCATCTGAAGATATCTCTCTTCTTCCCAAATCTCATACACAAATGAATCATCATTAACAGCCTCGAATTTTATACCGCTTAATGAGGTACGATTCCACTGTTCCTCAACCTTCGTTAAAAACTCATAACTTCTAGCAGTTCCATTTTCATGAGACATGTTCAAGAAAGCTTCAAAGAAATGCCATTGCCATTCATCTCTCAATTTCGGAGAAATTTCATTGACATCCTTAGGGGAGGCAACTTCGGAAGAAAACTTGAAAGCGTTCCTGATAAGAGTTGCATATCCTTCTATTGTTTCTCGAGCCATCATATTCCTAACAGTGGTTTTTCCTGTCAGTGAAATATCCCGAGCCAAGGGAGATAGTTTCCCTTTCGATGTCACTTCAAGCACTATCTGTGTTAGAGCCTTCAAATTCTCCTTGGGGAAAAGATACCCATTCACTCTGTCTTCAACCTATTTGGTTTTTTGCCAATATAGTCAGTGAACAGTAAGCATGACCTAACACATGAAAGGGAATGGAATAGAGAGCATACATATTTCTGAATGTTGGGGAGGTCGGGAGCAACAACCAGTTTTCCCAAGGACATGGCTTTCACCAAAATCTCTGGAAAAGACTGCTCCTCAAGAAACGATCCGTACAAAACAAGATCAGAAGTTCCAAGTATCTCGTCAACATTCCTGTCAATGCCAATGTGCTTCACGGAATCTTCTGGATATGACAAATTTCGGGCGATTGTCTAAGACAGGAAAGACAATTGAGGATAGAAAAATCAGTTATATTGTAATGACAGGTTTCAAGATCCAATACCAGCTGACAGCTAGCAAAAACAGAAACAACTATATACCTCGACGGCTATGCTATAGTTGGAAGCTGAATGTCCACCTAAAACTATGATTTTGAGATGGGTATTATTGTAACTGTCACGGGAAGAATCTGAAAACAACGGTAGCAGCGCTTGCAGAACTAGGGCGTGTTCAAGCCATAAACCCTTGTACAAGAACTGGCTTCCCACGATAGTGATGACTATTCCATCTTTTTGTGGGCTCTCTAAATTATTCTCCACTTTCCATGCTTCTGCAGGAGATCCAGGAATCACATAAAAGTTCCCAGCATCAAACTCTGAGTAAAGAATCTGCAAGAAAAAAGGTAGAGCATCGGAGACTTAATAAAGGCTAATTTCCAAAAAGGCAAAGATATTAAGAAAGTAAAACACGTTCGTGGCTACTTTTGTAATGATGAGTCCAACTATTACCGGAAGGAGGTAATTGTGGAATACTACAACAGAAGCTCGATGGAAAATCTTTCTCCAAACGTTGAGAAAATCGGTCCGCCCTGTCGAGGTGTACCATCTTGACCGAACAGCAAGAGTTTCCTCATTGATGACCCAAATGAGGGGCAAAGATTTGAAAGGTTCTTGCATGACACTGTTCCAAATAACCAGGGTTAATTGCCGATATACCGAGAGAAAATTTCACAAGGAAATGCATAAATATGATACCTAGTATAAATCTAAAAATCACATATTGCAATTTTTTACTATTGTCAAACTACTTGATAAGAATCATACCAAGAAAACACACTCCTGGCTTCGAGAGAGTTCACAATTATGCCATCATACCTGCGAAATGAAAATAAGAAAACGATGTAACAGAAATGATCACATGGAGCAAATGAAAGCATCCAAATTAGGGCCAATTGTAAAATAAAAAGATGCATTATTTGATGGACCAACTTGGTATGGAAAATTGTTTCAAAGCTTGATCTATTCAACATATTAGATCCAATCCTGAGGCTCCAATTAACAAACTGTTAAAAATAGTAAAATGAGAAAAGCTCAGACTATATGTCATGGTTCACTAATTCAACATTCTTCAAGCCAACGGGGCATACGATAGCCAGTCGATGACACAATTTGATGCGTGATAACTCTCAAGAATGGTGACTGGAGCACCTAATTTCTGCCAAATGCCTCGCACAGGACCATCTTCAAGGGAGTAAACCTTCCAAAAAAAACCCGTTCATAACCATGAGAATTGCAAAAGGATTGAAGAGCTTTTACAAAGAAGATGAGATAATTCTATACCTCAATGGCATAGCCGGTTTCTTGCAGTGCATTGGCAACAGTCACCATTAACAGCTGTTGCGGATCAGCTAGCATGTCGGCAAACACCTTCAGACAAACATTTCCAAATCTCAACAAGAACATCCAAACATATAAATGCTTACATGCATACAAAAGCAATGTAGCATCATTCTCATATACAGACATGGATACCGACCAGAGCCAATTGCGGCCTCCTGAATCCGAAATGTTGAGGAGTTGCATTGACAGAAGAGGATGGGAAGCTTGAACTATTAATTTCTCTTTGAAACTTCATCAAAAGCATAATGGGTTCAAATCTAATATCCTCCCCGAAATCTAGAAAACCTTTCTCCTTGAAGGCCGCCAAATCCGGCGGCAAAACTTCCGCTCCATCCGACTTGTCGACCACCAGACCCGGCAGAAACATCTGGGATATCACAACGAAGAAGAAGAACACAGCCACAGTACAAATCCATTGGAGATAATCGAGCTTCTTCAAGAAAAAGAATCTCGAGAGCCTCGATCTGTTCCTTTGCAACAAATGGTGTTGCCTTTCTGGTCTCTTCGCCGGAATCCCGGATTCCAGGGAAACCATCCTACGCTCTCATGGAAAAATCGAAATTACCACCGAATCCGGCTAGAATTCCAACACAGCCCCGCAAAATCTCAGCAGAAACAGGAAGCCTTGTATGCTACTAACAAGCAATCCAGTAGAAGTAACCAACTCTGGAACATGAGCCACAGAAACTCCTGGAGAAAGCTAAAATTTTCGCCCCGACCCAGCTAAACTAACTCAATCTCAAACAGGATCCACTAAAATGCCGAACGAACAAGGAATCTTTGCCACAAAACCCAGCAACAAAGATCCCGCGGAGACTACGGCTTCCGAAAGATAGCAGTCGAAGGGCGTGTTGTTTTCAGATGACGTAGACCAGCGAGCATGATCTCGTAAATGCGTGTGAGCAGAGAGAGAGAGAGTCGAGAAAGGTAAGGTAACGGCTTGGGAAAGGACAAGAAAGCTGTGATTACAGAACGAGTAAGATTTGCCGTCGGACTAATTCGGAGGGAGCGAGAATCTTTGGCCCTCGTCTTCCCATTTTCTTCGTAATTCTGACTTATCTTCCATTTTCCATATAAGCCCTAAATTTATATAGAAAAAAAATTATTTGCTTTTATATAGACCTTGTTAGGAAAAATACAAACTTAATTTAAAACGAATATATTATCTGCATCGTTTATAATTCAAATATCATACGATATGCTATATAAATAAGTATAACCTCTGCAATGAATAAGCAAATCTCTCTGGTGTTAAATTCTCAGGGAGACATGTAGCACGGTCCGACATTATCATATTCCGAACTATACAAGATAACGATTTAAATAATATTAAATTTTCCATATATATATAATTACAATATTTTTTATAATAGTTTGAATCGGTGTTTGTATGAATAATGTCTGGTACATCCATTTAACGTGTGCAGCGAAAACATCATACAACCAGTGGTCTTTTTATTACATTGAACTCTTTGGACCGTCCACACCAACAATCATTTAATTGTTTACCAAAAAAAACAATCATTTAATCCGTTGAATCTAAAATAATTAAATATGAACTCTGTCCGAAAAGAGAATCCAAATATTCTATCCTTATCTCATACGCATAATTTAGAATGTTGGATCTAAAATAATTAAATATGAATATCATTAATCCGTTGGACGATATGTTTGACCGACGAACGCTGCTTCACCTTGGGTTATATGTTATACAACACATAAAGTAAATAAAAAGTGTTGCCGTTTGAAACTGTATTTTCTAATTAACTGTCATATATTTGGCCTAGATAGTCTCCCCACATGCCCAAATCCTTTCTATCATGTATAAATTTTATATCGTAATAATCAATAATTCTTAATTAAAAGAATTTATAGATAATTTTTAATTGAATCTTTTATCATTTAAAACTTTTTTTACGAATCTATCTCTTTTTTATGTCGATATAGGATGTGATCTAATCTCGTTTTAATTTTTAGATACAACTATCGTAAGTTCAGAGATCCATCGTAGTAATCTAGAGTCGATCACATGGATACATGTAGTTTTAATGACAAAATCTCATATTCTATTCGATTTGGTCGGAACGATAATTTGGATGATGGTGATGATAAATAAACGTAATTACAAATTAAGGCTAATACAAATAGTTGTTTTAATACAATTTAATTAAAACATTGTAGATATCGAGATTTATGTGTCATGTAAGAATCGTTTCTACTGATTCATCTTGTTAGCTATTGTTTATGGTTGTGATCTGGGTATTGGAAAGTGGTTATTGAATTGATTGTCTTGCTAAATATACAATTAGTCAAGTGCATGTTTAATTTTCTTAATAAACAAATATGTAAACATTAATATGCCATAGACAATAAAATAAAACTTAATATTAACTAAATAGTTCATAACACACCCGTGTATATAGTTGGAAATGGTATAAGGTAGCTTATTTTTCGTTCTCTCTTTTTTTTTATGGATAAATTTTATGTTTTAAACATTTTTTTCTTCATAATTTGAATAGTGCGCACGAAAAATGCGACAACAGAGTTATTTGATTTTCTCATAATTGATTTTGAGATGATGAGATCAACCAATTTGGTGAAACCAATTAAACATCTGCATCTATCATTTATGCAACAAACGGAGTTCTTTGGTTCTCTCCTAATTCGTTTTTGTATCGCTTATAAACGAAGGCATTGTGATGGAAACCCCAAAAATTATTTCAAATCAGATTTTTTTTTTAAAGAAAAATATTTCCTGATTCAGTGTATGTCCCATTTTGTTTCATGATTGTTGATTATTGCAATGTGTCTTCGTACCTTTTGGATTTGAAAATGATTTATTTGTTAAAGGTTGTTTGTCAATTTGCATCCGAAGATAAGTAGAAAATTTGTTATGAATTATTTTGTTATTGATAATTTAATAGATAAACATAAAAAAAAAAAAATCAATTTGAGAGATTTTATTACAAAAGACATTTCGATATTATGATTATATGTCTAAACCACTCTCTCTTGCGCTTTTCCACTAAACAGGTTGTTGACGAGGATATTTTTTAGGAGTTTTGCCTGAGTGTTTCGGTGGGTTGATGATGAAAAACAAAAGAAGGCTGAAATTCTCTTTGAGTTAATCGTAGAAATACTCGCCAAAGTTCCTTCCGATCAAGGATTTGGTATGGTTCGGATGCGTCGCTCGAGAAAGCAACTCTCGATCCTTGGATCATCGGACATGTATTTGCTGCCTTTCGGATTTGTCTACGAGTGTGATCGGACGAAGAGGATGGTGCTTCGGAAGTTTGACAATGGAGACGACGTACAAGCAATCATCGTCGGTCCCAACAACACCTTGGCCTTCACAGAGGAGATCAAATGCCAAATATAAAATCGGTTTATATCGAAATTTTAGAATCATAAAAGATGTTATCCTTATTATCTACCTAATAAATTCCAAATATAAAATCCGATATGTCTGTTCGAGAATGAAGATTCGGTATACACCATCTGGATTTTGGGCTTTATGGGCCAAAAGACTAATAAATGGGCCATAAAGAAAAAATACTAACATTTGTCCTTTTTATGTTTTTTTTATAAATATTTTCCCTTCCTAATTTGAATAATGCGTATGAAAAATGCGATGCACAGTTATGAAAAAAAATGTTATCTGGTAATCTGTTATAGTTTCATATTTTCGATTTTAGCATCCGAAAATATGAAACCGTGTAATATAAAACACGTGATTAGCGAAAACAGTACGAGGAGACTACTGGGTATTTTTATTTTTCAAAAAGCATAGGCGGGGGGAGACATGGAGAAGTCGAAGTAAACGTGCGCCACAAGGGAAGAGAATCGTGTCCAAGTAGTCGACAGCCCCTCACGCTTGTGTTGACTTAACCAACACATACATATGTGATATGCCTTGCTTGTTTTGACTTCACCATTTTCAACATCTTAAAATAATCAATACGGTAGGTATATTTGTGTCGGTATTCCCCTGTCGGCCTATTTTACGTGTCTTTATATTCTCATTAATCATAAACTCTTCGTGAATTTACATTCATTCTTAAATAAATTTATAAACGCATTGGTTGCTTAAGGTCTCTTGTATTTAATAGAGTATTATAGTTAACATATTAACGGTACTTAGACGATTTAATAGATTATATATAATGCGCAACTTAAATATGGATTTAAAAAAGAAACATACAAGGAAAAAGGGTCTAGCATGCAGTGTTAAGAAAAATGAGAAAGTCTGACATTGGGAATCCGAATTTCAAAATGGATATCATTAAATAGGACGCATTTTCTAATATACTCAATTTATGGACGGAGAAATCTGCCTGCCATTAGACTCCCTGGTGTGTATTCGTACCCTTGCTTCAAACTATTTTCACACATCAATTAGAAGTTGATGGTTTTGATCTCATACAAACTCCGGTTCAAGAAAGAAAGAACATCTCCTTTTTTTCTTTCAAATTTAAGTCCTTAAGTGTTCTTTTATGTTGTTTATATTTATTGATATTCATTCGTTTTATATATCATTCGGATTTCATTAATTTGATTTTAAAAACTAATGTCATTATTTTTATTCATGTTTGGATCACGTGGTTATATATTATTCAATTTGTTCAACAATTATAGAAATGTATGAGGCGTAGTTAAATCTCCAATTCAAAACATCCGTTTCTTGCGGTTTATTTTTATCACATACATTTCAATATTATTATCATACTTTTCAGCGATTTACATTCCCTGCGGAGGAAAAAAAATTGTCTTGACCCCCTGGAAGAGTCATGAAACGGACCTAGTAAATAACAAATTCCAAAACCTTAGAAATCTCTGTCTGTCATAATATTAAACCATGCACACATAAATTCCATTAATACTTAAAGACATACACGTTTACCTCTCGTTATATATGGGATCATACGATCTACAAATTCGTTATATATCTGAATTTGGCACGCATGGTAAAAGTACGATGGTCTTGATCGTAGTTAATGGTTAAATACCCCGAATAAGGTTAATTAAATACGCTAAGCAAATTTAGATATAGAAACAGAGTTGGGGTTTTAGTTTTGAAACGAGGGTTGTAATTTTTTCCAATTATAACATCTGAAAAATTCTAAACCACGTGTGATATTGGCGCGACAAATCACAGGAAAAAAAAAAGAAAGTGAAAGTGATTTTGACTAATTAACATGATATCATGCAAATCGAACACAAAGTCTTGGATACATTTTTCATGTCCGTGGACGAGACCAAAAAGGGTGAGAATCTTCATTCGTTTTCGCTTGTTTGATTTGATCCACCTTCTCTCCCTTTGTCTTCTCCTATATATACACAAGCTCTCGTTTCATTGTCTCTTCACCAAAATCCTCTCATTTAACATTCCCATCTATCAAGAGATAATGGGTTCCACCACAAAGAACGTTTTGTCGAAAATGGCAACGAACGATAACCATGGGGAGAACTCGGAGTATTTCGACGGTTGGAAAGCTTACGACAAAGATCCTTTTCATCCTAACCGTAATCCCAACGGGATTATCCAGATGGGTCTTGCAGAGAACCAGGTAAATATATACTCGAACCATGCATGCATGCATGTATTTTTACGTATATGCACGACAAAACCCGGAGTGTTTTTTTTTTTGCCAAAGACTGGATTTGTTGAATTCATGCGCATATGTGACTGTAAAGCGAGCAATTCCGGTACTTACCCTTTTCTCCTTATATACGTATAAAATTTTCAGCTTTGCTTTGATTTGATCAAAGACTGGATCAAAGAAAATCCACAGGCTTCTATCTGTGCCCCTGAGGGTATTCATCAGTTCAGTGACGTTGCGATTTTCCAAGATTACCACGGCCTCAAGGAATTTAGACAGGTATACATATATTATATATATGCAACCATTGATTCATATAATTACGTATAATCTTATATATATACATACACATGCGTGTTTGCTAGCTAGATACCAATATTTGGTATTCAAATAACATATACATTTTATATTTGTTTTTGAAAAAAAAACAGGCGATTGCAAAGTTCATGGGAAAAGCAAGAGGAGAAAGGGTGGTGTTCGATCCGGACAGGGTGGTTATGAGCGGCGGAGCCACCGGAGCCAACGAGACAATCATGTTCTGTCTCGCCAATCCGGGCGAAGCTTTCCTTACCCCGTCCCCTTACTACGCCGCGTTAGTATATTTATCAACTCATTTTTCTCTTTCACTTTTGACATAAAATTCATTACATTATATTTCCATATATAGTAGGGCATTTTCCAAAATTTGTAAACAAAAATGAATCTGAATGGTTACAAGGGGAAGAAGAGAGATTGGACCGATATCATATTGGTCAGTGTCATGTGCTTTTCGAACGAATATTTCAGATGAAAATGTGATATTTGCAAGTTTAAAAGTATCAACTTTTGACCCTCTACGCTTCCTTTAGTACACGCGCGAGACCAATTTGAAACTAGAGTTTGATTCAACGATTTGGTCAAAGCCAGAAATAGTCTATATAATTAATTATTTTTTTGTCATCACAAAAATGGTTTTTTTATTCCACAATTCTATTAAGTACCGACATGATAAAGATCTAACCTTTTTTAATGCAGATTTGACAGAGATTTGAGGTGGCGCACGGGCGTGGAGATAATCCCGGTCCATTGTCACAGCTCAAACAATTTCACACTGACCATAGAAGGGGTAGAAGAGGCCTACCAAAGAGCCAAAGAGTCCAACATAAAAGTCAAAGGTCTGATTTTGACCAACCCGTCTAACCCACTTGGTACGATGTTGGATCGGTCCACGCTCGAAAGCCTTGTCCGGTTCGTCACCGGAAAAAACATCCATCTTGTCTGCGACGAGATCTACGCCGCCACCATATTTTCCATCGAAAAGTTTGTCAGCGTCGCCGAGGTGGTCGAGGGAATGGACAGCTCGGAAGTCAATCTCGATCTGATCCACATCGTCTACAGTCTCTCCAAAGACATGGGTTTTCCCGGTTTCCGAGTCGGCATTGTCTACTCGTTCAACGACTCAGTCGTGGCATGTGCCAGAAAAATGTCGAGCTTTGGTCTCGTCTCGTCCCAAACTCAGTTCCTCCTCGCGTCAATGCTCGACGACGACAAATTCGTGGAGAATCTCCTCTCGGAGAATTTGAAAAGGCTGGGGAAGAGGCATAGGGTTTTTACCTTAGGGCTCAAGAAAGTGGAGATTACTTGCTTGCCAAGCAACGCAGGTCTGTTCGTGTGGATGGACCTAAGGCATTTGCTCAGAGACAACTCATTCGAATCGGAGATCGTGCTCTGGAGAATAATCATCGACAAGGTGAAGCTGAATGTATCTCCGGGCTCTTCCTTCCACTGCACGGAACCAGGTTGGTTTAGGGTTTGTTTTGCCAACATGGACGACGAGACGTTCCACGTGGCACTCCGTCGGATCCAAGATTTCGTGTCCCGAAACAAGGCCAAGGTGGTGGAAAAGTCAACGGAAGTCAACGATCAGAGCAGCAGTGATAACGTTAAGAAGCAGAAATGGCGGGAGATAAATCTAAGGCTTAGCTTCTCTTCTCGAGTGTACGAAGATCGAATAATGTCGTCGCCGAGGATCATGTCGCCGCAATCTCCTCTTCTCCGAGCTTGAGATCTATATATGGCCTCATCTGATCTCGGAATTTAGACGTCCCTGATTAACCATTATAATTATTAAGTTAAGTTTTTTATTATCTTATAATTTGAATAATTCAACATTTAGGGTGATATTCTGATAACCAGCTTTTTTATGGGGCTGATTTCGTAAAATCTTAATATTGTTCACTTTTTGTGTGTTTCTGTTTTTTTTTCCTGGGTTTTTCCCCCACTGTGGATTGGGCATGTAATCGCCTTCTTTTAATAAATCTGATTATTATTATTATTATTATTATTATTATTATGATCATCATCATCATCATCATTATTAAATATGTGCGTGTGTGTTGATTTAGTAAGGGCATGACAAGTTGATAAACTATTTAACTAAACCACAACATATACGGCAACAATTAATTAAACCACAAAAAAAGACCCAATTGAGTTTACTGTTTAGAGAAAATGGAATTTGTTGAGGAAATAAATAAATCAATGGGCTAATTCTGGAACCCTGTATTAGTAGTAACTAACTGCTGCTAAGATGAAGACGTCACACATGTATGCTACATGCCTAACCCTCTGTTTAAATATACATATATATATATATATATATCTGATAAGTCATCATCATATGGATGTCGAGTCAGAATATATATATGGTTGCACCAAATATATGCGTGTGTCTGTGTTTTTCGATATAAGGCCAAAACATACATATTTATTATTTTTATTTGCATAAAAGAATTAATCAGACAAATTAATTAGGTGTTGGCGCTAGACCCGAAAGTTAACAAGCACGGCTGACGTGATTAATTGCCAATCATGACACAACATTTCCTTGTAGGAGAAAGCTGACGACCTACATGTATTATTTATCCATACAGTAATCAATTCCATTGTAACGAAATGATTCTTGTCATTAATTTCGTGGTCGATGAAATAAAACTATATCCCAATTAATTTTATGAAATTAATAAATTTTAACAAGGGTTGCATAAAATGATGATAATTCACTTGTTTACATAAAAAGTTGATATATTTATATAAAATTATCTCCATTATGTTTATAGATAGTCCTTAGCAAATTAATTTTTAGGTGGCAGCCAACCAAATTTCTTTTGACATGTGTATGGACTGCTTCAAATTTCAGCCACCAAATTACATGTGAAGGACAAAAATCTTGTGCAACAATAATAGAACAAGAAATTCCTAAAAACATAGAATTTTCAAAAAAATAAAATAATCAAAATTCATAATGAAAATAATTACTTGTAATTAAGGATATTCCAAATTATTTTTGCTGTTAACCATGAAATTATGTTATCACTGTTAACCACTTAAATTATTTTTGCTGACAGACTAAGACTATGGAATGGTGCTGACATCTAGATGGAGGTTTTTTTTTTTTAAAAAAAAATTGTTTTTAAAATTTTAAATTCGTATTTTAAATTTTATTTTTCTCAGTTTTTTTTTTGCCCCGAAACTGACTCATCACATGATCGTGAAGCTCTTTGTCCCTTGGCTTCATGTAACAAAAACAAGGAAATTGATCGCATCATCTACACTGCAAAACGTTCGGGACATGTACTTTTGTTTTAATTTACCAATTTCATATGATTTAATCCCTTAAATATAGACAAATTTGCGCCTGTCTCTTCCTCATATGATTTTACTTGTATTGCTAAATTTTGATGTAATGTAAGGTTAAAGTTTAAGGTCCGTCACCCTATAAATATCTATATACAGAGATGCGCAATATAAATACACAAAAACACCGTATATACGGCCACGTATGGACGTGATAACTATGCATGCAACGATAACGCTATATATATTGCACATGACAACATTCCTTCATTATCCCTTATATACATGAACGTCCCTTCAAGCAAACGAAATAACAAATTGTTTTTTTTAGGACGATGGGCATCGACGAAATATACAAAACACATAATCGATCGATTAAAATAAAAAAAACCCCTGAAAATTATAGGAGATATTCAACCGATCGATAATATAATATTTTTCACGTTCCTTATTCAGTTGAACATTGCCCATTTCAGGAGATGACGCAGGCGTTAGGGTTCTCTTCCATGCTCTGAACGTAGTAATACGTTGTAAGGTGAGGGTTATAAGCTTTATATGCCTTCACGAGCTCGGCCACATGGTCCGGTGGCGGCGGATGCACCACCACTACCGGCTGCGGGTGCGGGGGC